AGTACACTGGATCGTACCCAAGCCACGTATGACAACAAGAGTCTAAAAACGTCTGGTATAAGAGAACTTGACAGAACATAGCGTCATCTAGTATATCCAAATGGTCCAAACTATGACAGTGGCGAATTTACCAAAAATCATAAACGATCGATTCACGGTACCCTATCAAACAGGACGTGCACGCCGAGGTCAGGCTTGCCACCGGAACAAGAGGTGCAACAACGACTGCTTGGACGACATATCAGACGTGGCAGCCGTCACGACGTAACGCGGGCCCGTCCAGAACGGAAGCGAACGCAATATAGCTTGATAGAATAGAGCACACGCCAATCGAACATAGTTGTGGACTTGAAGACTGTAAAATTCAGCAACGACCGATTAACGGCGCCCGGCCACACGCAGCATCCGAGCAGACGTAAGGTTGGCAACAGTAATACACCATATATACAGAACAGAACAGGAGCATAGTAATGCAACAGCGACCGAGCACTGGCGTCTTATCAGACCCGACGTGCGCGCCGAGCTTAGGCTGGCCACAGTAACAACCAGTACGAGGCTCGGGAACAAATGCCGAAGGTTTAGGATGGGACCGTTCAATGTATGATTCAAAATAACTGGAACGTCGTTTGTGGTACTGCTGACTGCCATTTGAAAATCCCGTGCCACTGACAAACCTATAAAGCACGCGCGCTTCTGCTCCAATTCGTTGCGCCCCCTGGGGCTGACAAATCGTCCCCCCATGAACCATCGCCCAAAGACAACCGGCCCATGCAAAATAGAACACGCAGGGACACACCTTCGAGCCGTGAGAGCATGGGCAACCTAAATGGCGACCGATTGAATTCCCAGGCCCTGCGTAAGCCACCGGCCACTATGACCCCATGACTTGCCATCATGACAGCTGCATTGCTTTCCTGTCTCTACGGTCTAGGAGGCGTCGTCATAAGGAAGCCTTAGACGCTCCTTACAGCGACTCCTTCGACGAGGACTTCGCAAGTCCCAATCTGGTGAAGACCAAACGCATCCCCCGCCGCATGGCGACCAACAGGTTGACCGTGCACGAGGTGGTCTTTTTCACTTGTCCGAACACTGCGGGAACTGAACATCACAAGGGAAGGCTCGGAGGGTGCCTCCCGATCCGGGGCGAGGCACGAGTATCTGGACGTCGATCTGGGCTTCCTGTGAGATCCTGGGGACCTCCTCGCAAGGTTCAGGTGTCCGACGGGGGAAAGCAGGAAAAATAATGCTGATAACGATCCAAGAAGCGGTCAACAAGACGATCGAGGAACAGGAAAGGGAAAAGAAGGAGGAGGCGGAGGAGGAGGAGGAAGGAGGTGATATGGCAGTGAAGGTGAGAGGAGGGGAGAAGAGGGAAGCTGGGGAGGAGGGAGCAGGGAAGTCCCAGGGAGGAGGGAAGGACGATTGGAGAGAGGGGGGGAGGAGAGGAGAGGGAAGCAGCAGATTGCAGCATGCTGCTCCTCTTCCTCCCTCCTCCCTCCTCCCTCCTCCTCAAGCTCGGGCTCTTCCTCCTCCTCCTCCTCCTCGCTCCTCCTCCTCCTCCTCCTCCTCCTCCTCCCCTCCTCCCCCTCCTCCTCCTCCTCCTCCTCCTCCTCCCCTCCTCCTCCTCCTCCTCCCCTCCTCCCCTCCTCCTCCTCCTCGAGAACGGGGGATTGTGGAGTCGCAGGGGTTCAAAAGCGCGCGCGCGCGAGGGTTTCGCGCTGAGTTCGCGACTGTTTCTGTGCAAACTCTGCGCTGTGTCGTCCTCCTCCTCCTCCTCCTCCTCCTCCTCCTCCTCCTCCTCCTCCTCCTCCTCCTCCTCCTCCTCCTCCCCCTCCTGCTACCTCTCTGCCTTTTTTTTTCTCCTGGCGCCCCCCCCCTCAGAAAAAAAATGATTATGTTTTTTTTGTTTCCTGGGGGGGGGGGGGCGCCAGGAGAAGAAAAAAAAAAAAAAGGAATGCGACGTGGCAACATCTGCCCTCCCCCTAGAAGGATTCCTATTGGACGCCACCATATGAAGGATTCACAGTGAAATCCTCGACAGAAGGGTTCCTATCGAAACCCTCCACTGAATGATTCCTACCGAAATCCTCCACATGTGGATTCCTACTGAAACCCTCCACAGCGGTAGTATCATGGTAATGGTAATGCTACTGGTAATGGGAATGGGAGTGGAAATGGTACTGGCAATGGTAATGGTAGTGACGAATGGCAATGGCAATGGCGATGGTGATGGTAATGGTAATGGCAATGACAGGGGTAATGTAATGGTACTGGTGCAGGTAATGGTGACGGTAATGGTAATGGTAAGGGGGTAGCGATTGGCAATGGCAATGACAATGGCAACGGTAATGGTAATGACAATGGCAATGGGATTGGCCATGGCAATGCCTCTCTGCCTTTTTTTTCTCCTGGCGCCCCCCCCGAAAAAAAAACAGTTTTTTTTTCTGGGGGGGGGGGGGCCCAGGAGAAAAAAAAGGAATGCGACGTGGCAACATCTGCCCTCCCCCCTAGAAGGATTCCTATTGGACGCCCCCATAAGAAGGATTCACAGTGAAATCCTCGACAGAAGGGTTCCTATCGAAACCTTCCACTGAATGATTCCTACCGAAATCCTCCACATGTGGATTCCTACTGAAACCCTCCACAGCGGTAGTATCATGGTAATGGTAATGCTAATGGTAATGGGAATGGGAGTGGAAATGATACTGGCAATGGTAATGGTAGTGACGAATGGCAATGGCAATGGCGATGGTGATAGTAATGGCAATGGCAATGACAGGGGTAATGTAATGGTACTGGTACAGGTAATGGTGACGGTAATGGTAATGGTAAGGGGGTAGCGATTGGCAATGGCAATGACAATGGCAACGGTAATGGTAATGACAATGGCAATGGGATTGGCAATGGCAATGACAATGATAATGGTCATGGCAATGGCAACGGCAATGATAAGTGTAATGATAACGGCGATGGTAATGGTAATAGGAACGGGAAAGGGAATGTGAATGGGAATAGGAACGGTAATGGAACTGGTAGTGGTAGTGGTAACGGAAATGGGGATGATAAGGGTAAGGGTAAAGGTAACGGTAGAGGTAAAGGTAATGGTAATGGTAATGGAAATGGTAGTGATAATGGTAATGGTAATGGCAATGGTAATGGTCATTAGAATGGGAATGGCAATGGAAATGATACTGGCAATGGTAATGGTAGTGGCTAATGGCAATGGCAATGGCAATGCGAATGGTAATGGTAATGGCAGAGGTAATGGTAATGGTACTGGTCATGGTAACGGTAATGATAATGGTAACGGGGTGGCGACTGGCAATGGCAATGCCAATGACAATGGCAACGGTAATGGTAATGGCAATGGCAATGGGAATGGCAATGGTAATGGCCATGGCAATGGCAATGGCAATGGTAATGGTAATGGCAATGGTAATGTGAATGGGAATGGGAACGGGAATGGGAATGTGAATGGGAATGGGAACGGGCATGGAAATGGCAGTGGTAGTGGTAACGGAAATGGGAATGGTAAGGGTAAGTGTAAATGTAAAGGTAGAGGTAAAGGTAATGATAATGGTAATGGCAATGGCAGTTGTAATGGTAATGGTAATGGTAATGGTATTGGGAATGGGAATGTGAATCGGAATGGTAATGGTACTGGCAATGGTAATGGTAGTGGCGAAGGGCAATGGCAATGGCAATGGTAATGGTAATGGTAATGGTAGTGGCGAATGGCAATGGTAATGGTAGTGGCGAATGGCAATGGCAATGGCAATGGTAATGGCAATGACAGTGGTAATGATGATGGTACTGGGAATGGTAATGGTGACGATAACGGTAATGGTAATGGTTATGGCAATGGTAACGGGGTAGCGACTGGCAATGGCAATGGCAACGGCGATGGCAATGGTAATGGTAATGGGACTGGCAATGGCAATGGCAATGGGAATGCTAACGGCAATGGCAATGGCAATAGCAATGGCCATGGCAATGGTAATGGTAATGGTCATGGTCATGGTCATGGTCATGGTCATGGTCATGGTCATGGTCATGGTCATGGTAATGGTAACGGTAATGGTAATGGTAATGGTAATGGTAATGGTAATGGTAATGGTAATGGTAATGGGAATCGTAGTGGTAATTGGAACGGGAACGGGAATGGAAATGGTAGTGGTAGTGGGAAAGATAATGGCAATGGTAATGGAAATGGTACTGGTAACGGTAATGGTAATGGCAAAGGTGATGGGAATGGGAATTGTAATGGTGATGGCAGCGGTAATGGTAATGGTAATGGCAATTGTGTTGGTAATGTTAATGATAATGGCAATGGTAATGGTAGTGGCGAATGGTAATGGTAATGGTAATGGTAATGGTAACGGTCATGGTAACGGGGTGGCGACTGGCAATGGCAATACCATGGCAATGGCAACTGCATTGGTAATGGCAATGGCAATGATAATGGCAAGTGTAATGGCAATGGTAATGGCACTGGCAATTGTAATGGCAATGGTAATGGTAATGGTAATGGTAAAGGTAAAAGAAAAGATAAAGGTCAAGGTAATGGTAATGGTAACGGTAATGTGAATGGGAATGGGAATGGGGATGGGAATGGTAATGGTAATGGTAATGGTATTGGGAATGGAATGGGAATGGGAGTAGGAGAGATTGAGAGAGAGAGAGAGAGAACACGAGAAAGGAAACATCAGCATAATGATGAGGAACAACGTGAAATATCTTAAATTTTCGTCTAAAACCCACAGCGACTCCACAATCCCCCGGCCTCTCCTCCTCCGCCTCCTCCTCCTCCTCAAGCTCGAGCTTGAGCCCTTTCGGGGGAGAGGGATGAAGCGTGAAGGGGTGGGGGGCTTTCTTGGCATTCCCTGGCAGCGCACAGCGCGACAGAACCGAATGCGCTACAACCAAGGAAGTGGACGGGGCGGATGAATAGAACGACGAGGAGGAGGAGGAGGAGGAAGACGCGCATGATGAGGGGGCGCCTATGCCATCATGCACGAGAGACCAAACCCGCCATGGCGACGGCCAAGCAGCGGTCCCAAGCCTCCTCCTGGCGGCGGGCATCCCATACCCGCTCCCGTTCGACTCCCCAGCCGCTGATCTCCTGCCCCTCCTCCTCCTCCTCCCTCCTCCTCCTGCTCCTCCTCCTCCTCCTCCTCCTCCTCCTCCTCCTCCTCCTCCTCCTCCTCCTCCTCCTCCTCCCCCTCCTTCTCCTCCTCCTCCTCCCTTCCTTCCTCCTCGTTCACCTTCGCCTGCGGCCCTTCTCCTTTTCCAGCCCCTGTAGATCCAGCCGCGGCGACAAAGGAGGGACGGGTAGCGTTATCGGTACGTAGCACCCCGCACATTTCGGATACGAGCGAGGGAGCGGCGAGGACGTTGGCAGCCTGCGAGGCTCTGAAGAAGCCCTTCGCAGACGCCTAACTTGTACAAATTATGCAGTGAGCCCGCCGCAGGCGCCGATTTTTTCGTTAAGGCAATGTGGGTGGATCGCGAAGTTGGTGGCGGTTGGGTCGTCAACGGATCGCGGGCCGGGTTGCGGGTAAGTCGCGGGTGGGTCGCGGGTAGGTCGCAGGTGGGTCGCAGGTTGGTCACGGGTGGGTCGCGGGCAGGGTCGCGGTGGGGACGACGACAACAAACAACAATAACAGCAACAACGACAACAACATCAACAACAACATCAACAACACCAACAACAACAATAACAATCCGCACCCCAGAACCTCACTTCAGCCTCGCGCCCAGGGACAGTGAGTGACCGTGCGGCCCCCTCACTCTGATGTTTCCCTCCTCTGGGGCGCATGGGGCGGGGGGCAGGCTGGTCATTCCCTTGGCGAGGGCGCCAAGCCACCGTCGCAAGAGGTGGCAACGGCAGACGAGGGGCACCTGCGCTGTAAGACGGCGCTTTCCTGTGCAGACACCCGGGCTGACAGTGCGGCGGCGGCGCAGACTCCCTGAGGAAACACTGGCGCGGCTGCTGCTCCGAGCTGTTTAGAAAGCGTGGAGGGGTGGATCGGGTGGGGGTCAAACAACGGGCTGTCCTTCGCGGGGCGTAGAAGGGGGGGGGGGGTGGATCGCTTGAGGCTTGGGGAGGTGGTTTCGGTGGGGCGTGGGGAGGCCGGATCGGGCCGCCAGGCGGACTGGCATGGGGACGCCAAACAAGATGGGTGTATCGCGTGTTCTGCCCTCCCTCTTCCATCGTCGACGCCCCCTCCTTTCTCCGCATGCTGCTTGCCCCACCCGTTATTATCATCCCTTCCTCTCTTAAAAAAGGAAGCCCTCCCTAGGGACTTCTTGTTGTCCAGACGTCCGAATGGAGGGAACCCTTACTCAAACCATCCTTATTCAAATACTCATTGCTACATGATTGCTGACTGACGCGGGCCTTACTAAACAGTCGTCCATACAAAAGAATGATGGAACATCCAGCCTCGCTAGAGGAAGACTTGCCGAATTTATCATTACTGAAAGTTCCCTTGCCAAATAATCCACACCAAGAAAAAAACCTTCGCCGAATTAGTACCACACGCGATCCTTGGTCGAACGATCCTTACTGAAGGAGCCCTGACAAAGAAGGAACTGATCTCATATTGCTTCTAGCGAGCGCGTTCTTACTGAATGAGAAGCTTACTGGGGGGTCCCTGCAAATAAGACCTTGCCAGATAACCTTACTTATGGACCCGTACCAAGCCAAACAACATTGAACAATGTATGTAGATATTCCCGACTTGGGAATAATTACTGAATGACCCCCTTCCCAAAAGGGTCTTACAATGGACTCCTCGTTACAAGCGGATCCTTCTGAAATGAGTTACGCGAGGCTACCTATGTAGTGATATGTAACAACAGAAGCCGCTCTGGAACAACAAACACACAACCCGATCATGCCCAGGAATATATATATATATATATATATATACTATAGAACCCAAACAACCATCCGACATCGTCACTTGCGTTGCGTACTTGGTGTATGGTTCTTGTGTTCAAAAAATCCCGACGACGATGTATTGCGTCCCAGCCTTTTTGACAAACGCGATTCCGACAGTAACCGATTGCAGAGAGATCCTAGTGCAATGCGGGAACAGATGATAAGGATCCATTCTGACCCAGCATTACTTCCATAATAACTTTTCTGTACTCGACGGTAGTGCCTTCGATGTTCTTTTGTGTTGCCAAAGGTTTCTTCAATACAAATTCCCTCTGTAAATATTCCGTGTGTAAGGATTCGTTGCAGCGCGCTTACTACTGAACCCGTCGTGTGCATTATCCCAGGTGGTCTTTTCCATCAGGGTCTCTTTTCGGCATGGGGGAATCAGATACCGTTCCTTCAATCATGGGTCCTGTTTACGGTGACTTTGCGCAGAGACTTTGTACACAATATTGCGCGCTAGCTATGGGAAGGGATCTCATGCAATGACTAGTTGGTGAGGAAACCTTGGGAATGATTCCTCGAACAAAGGATTACTTAGCCAGGATTGTTGTGCTAAGGATTCCTTCACTACTGCTGTCCTGGCCAGGTATTATTCCATCATTCGTTCAATGACGCTTGCTCGTCAAGGTTCATTCGTAACGGTTCATGCGTCATGCTCCTCTTGTGATGGTTCGTTGGTTAAGGATTCGTGCTCGAAATACTGCTTTCGAAGAGTGTAAACAAGATCGTGAATAATGGACCAGCTCGAACGAGCTATCTAGTGATGACGGAAAGGAACGATTAAGGAGGAGGAGGGGAGGCAACGGAAGAGGACGACGAGGGGGAGGAGGGAAGGAAAAAGGAGGAACGGCAACACGCGCCACACAACAGTCGCCGCTGGCACTGGGGGGGGGCGTAGTGGCTAATGGGCCAACCTGGAACATTCACAACGCTGGTGGTCTCGCCAGACCCCTCGAAGTCCACCCCGCCGCTGGGTAAACGACCAAACGACCATAGATCCTGCGTTTTCCACGAGCACGAGTCCAACGAAGGCTCAGACATTTTTCCTGTAGCGGTGCCGCCGCGGCATCGCCGCTGGAAGCACTTCGTGGGCTGCGGCGGGAGCGGAAACGTCGGCTATGCCCTTGCCCCCTCCTTCTCCTCCTCCTCCTCCTCATCCTCTTCCTCCTCTTCCTCCTCCTCCTCCTTTTCCTCCTCCTCCTCCTCCTCCTCCTCATCCCAATCTTCCCCTCCTCCACCACCCATGCTCCGTGTGAGAACTTCTCCCAGTCGCGCCCTCAAGCTGTCGGGAAGGGGGCACAACGATTAGCCGGAGACTTCCTGGCCATGACCCTGATGCTTGAAAGTCACAACAGTTTCACGCATGGACGGGGTGTGTTTTCACAGCGTGGCCTCTGGCGTTGCGCCGCGTGCGTTCGTCGCAAAAACGTGCAGCAGCTTCACGATTGGGGGGAACCAAATGTGGTTATCGCCTAAACGCCGCGCGCATTCGCGGTACAAAGTTGCAATTGATTCAAAAATGGAAGGGGTTTCGAGACGTTGTTTTCGCCGTTGCGTTGCGCACGCTCGTTTAAGAATGTGCAACCGTTTCAATAATTTAAGTGGTGTCGCTTTCAACTTATAACTCTCGCCGTAGCGCTGCGCATAATAGTTTCAAAGTCTGCACCAAATCAACGGATGTGGCGCGTTTTTTGTTAGCAGAATGTGGCTCTCGCGGTTCGCGCCGTGCGCAACCGCCTCAAACGATGACAGCAATTTCACGGCTGGACGGGGGTCGTTTAAAACATGGGTTTCTTGCGTTTTTCGCCGCACCTTCGTCATGAAAGTTCGCAGCATGTTCAGCGATGGAAGGGGGTTGGTTTTCAAAATGTGGCTCTCGACTTGGCGCTGCACACGCTCGTCTAGAACATGTGCATCCGCCTCACTGCTTGAAAGGGAGCGCTGTCAACATATAGTTGCCGCTTTGGCACAAGCATTCGCTTTACAATTCGCAGCAACTTCTGGGACGGAGAGGGGGGTGGTTGTCAAAACGGTGCTGTCGCCTGCGCGCCGCCAACATGCCTGGTAAAAGAATCGCGCCCGCTTCACGGATGGAGCGCGGCTCCATTTTATTGCGTGGTTCCATCTTGATGCGCCGCAGACATCCGTTTCAAACTAATGCAGCAATTTCAAAGATCGGGCACCTGTCAAATTCAAACTATGGTCATCGCACCAACGCCGCGCGCATTCGTTATTGCATGTAACGTTTGGCAGGACGTAAGACGACTCTTCTCTCCTAGTGGAGCTATCGCCAAGGGTTTCGCCATTTTCACGGCGGGGAGCATCACGGATTCACGGATTCACGACGGTTCGCGGAACGCACGCAGCGCTGCGCGGATTCACGGCGGTTCATTTTCGAATTGGACATGCCGCATTAGATGTCGTAGAAGTTCGTGGCCACAACATATAGTTTGCACCACGGTTGCGCGGATAGGGCTAGGGCCTTCCCTCAAGAAGGGGATCTCGTCGGACACACCGTTGAGTTGTATGGTCATTCTCTTTTGCGTTCTTGATTGCACGCCGCTAAGATGCAAGGGCGTTCCTTTTTCAAGCTGGGCCATCGCTCGCATGGCAGGCCCTACTGCGCTTGCCTTTCATGGGGGGTAGCGAAGACGAGAACATGTAGGGGCGCATGGGGAGGGAGCCAGGGCAGGAGGGTTCTTGCAGCATCGTTTACGACAAAATCGTGTCGTAACGACTCCGGCGTGGGTTTCTGACACGGCGCAGGTCGTTCCACCTTGAGCGAGCGGCTTTCCCACAGCGCAGATGGATCCTCGTCGGCCAATTCAGGGTCACTGGTGGCATTCAACCTGGAACGCCCGTGCTGGGGGTTGCCGCCGCGCCGGCGCGACGCGAACCTACCGTATGCAGCTTTAGTTTACTCTGGTCCTCCTCGGCCCAGTCCAACGCGAACTCGCGGCCCGCGCCACATGCCAACGGGGCGGGGCAAACCCCCACACCCCGCGGCCCCCAGGAGCTACAGGGGCCGCCGCACTCCTGGCGGGGCGCAGGAGGGGGAAAAGAAAGGACGACGAAAGGAAGAAAGAGGCGCCAGGCTCACCACGTAGACCGCGATGGGCACCACCGGCCCGCCGAAGGCGGGCGGCCCTCGTGCCTCCTACCAGCGTGAGGGGACACAGGTTACCCCGCGTCGCCGTGCGGGGCACACGGCGCGTGCTGCCGCGCATGGGCAGCCTGGCCCGCCACCGCGGGCCCCCTTGCCCAACGGGGGCCAGGCGGTGCACGTCTTGAGCTGTGCCCGTGGGTCGCCCCCCCCCCCAGCCACACCCCTGCCCCGCGATGCCACGAGAGGGCCAATACGGTGGCTGGAGCCTGCCACCGTACAGGCAGGCACCACGCGGGCCGACGCAGAATGAGATCCACGCCCGCCCAGAGGGGGCCTACCCTCGCGGCCATGGAACGCCAAGTCCCCGAGGGACCCGAGACGGCAGACCCGCACCAGCGGGACTACCGCCAGAGTACGGGGGGGCCGCGCCAGGCCCGTCACGGCACCGACGCCCCTGGCCCGCCGCGCCGCCCGCCCCCTGCGCAGGCGACGTCTTGGCGGATTTCAGTTCGCCCCAGGAGTCCCGACGTGCCGCCCACACGCCCAGCTGCCCTCCCGGGGGGTGCTCTGGTCCTCCCCCTCCTCCTCCCCCTCCTCCTCCTCCTCCTCCTCGTCCTCCTCCCCCTCCTCCGTCGGGCCAAAAGAATGTGGAGCTGAACAAAGGCGGGCTCCTTGGAACGCAGACCTCACCAAACACCAGAAAGGTTACGGGCTGCTGCAATTCCTCAAGCCATCGGGCCAACATGTATGTGGCGACATCCGAACCCTACCTCCACCAATCAAGAGTTCTCCTGAATCGATGGGAGGCGGGGGTAGGGTTCGGAATTCGCCACGTGTTCGACGCATGCTGGACCCTGCCCCCGCCGCCCATCGAGTTGCCTGAATAGCTGATCGACGAGGGTAGGAGGGTAGGGTCCGATTTCGCCACCGAGCATGACCCCTCAAGAAAACATACAATTTGAGCGCAGTGCAGGCGCGGGCAGCAGGCAAACCCCAGTGGCGCTCAGGAAGATGCCCTCCCTTCCTATCCGCTGCCACGTGCTTCCCTCCCGATGTTCCTTATTGCCGCTGTGTCCCCTCCGCCCTTCACGCTTCTGCCACCCTCCCCTCTGAAGGCAATCGCAAAGGCCCCAAGCGGACCCCAAACAGAAATCCACTATCATCAAACTGTCGCCCACGAGATTATGTGAAGGTTCCCCGTCCGATACCGCATCAGCGGATCTCAGATTGGTGACGTCGTGAGCATTTCATCCACGTTCTCCTCCCCGCCTCCTCCTGCCCTTACTCCGTATGGCTATCATGTTCCTCATTCACCCTCTCCTTCCCCTCATGGGCTCCTGCTCCTCCTCCTGCCCTACACCTGACGCGGTGGCGGTCCCAGGAGCACTCAGGCGTCAAAGATACCCTTTCAGGCCTCTGAGTGGGTCGTGTCGTGTCCTGGGAGACTTCAACAATCCAGCGCATGCACTTTCAGCCTGTCGCGCGTCCTCCGTCCCACGACTCCCCCACTGCGCCTCTGTCCCCAGCTCCCGTTCCTTCCCTCTTCTGAAATCCTTGACTCGTATTTTCTGGGCGATGTTCGCCAAACTTCGGGCGCCGGGCCCTCACATATCGATCCGGCTCGAAGAATGCTACAGAAAAATGCGGTCTGGGGCTCTGATCGTGATCGTTCGCGATGGTGCACTTCTTTCGCGAGGTCGGATCTCAAGGTCTCTCGCTTTCCGCCTCCACCCATCCCGCCCTGCCCCCTGCCTGCCAGAGGGCCGGCATCCTTGTAGGCACTGAACGCGACAGGCCGAATGTCCGCGCAAACAGAGGTGTCGACGTGGTCGAACTCGCAAGTCTTGTTGTGCTTGCAGGCGTGAGCCCCTGCCCAAGGACGACAAGGGGAGGAGCCGGAGGAGCACGGAGAGCAGCAGGACCAGAAGGGAGTAGGACGCACGAGAAGCGAGAGCAGCGGGCAGAGCCGTAGGAGGACCGTGGAGCGAGCGATGCGCTTTGAGTCCTATGCGCAGAACGTGCGCATACACTGTGAGATACCGTGCCCCCCGCAAATGGCGACGGGAGCGAGGGTTTCCTGTGGTCTCGGCGCGACGCGCTTTGAACTGGAACATGGCGCGCGGCGCCTTGGCGCCTGTAAAGCCACAAGAAAACGAAGGAGATCACGGGTAGATGCCGAATGCCACAACGGACAAGGGAGAACGAATCCAAAACGCCGAACCGGCGCCCAAGCCAGGGCGGCCACAACGACGATCGTGGCACGAAGAATTCCCGAGCCCCAATACGTGGCTATTGCTGGGATTTTTTGTCGGACATGCCCCCCAGAAACGGCGTTCTGGCGCGATTCCAAATCGTCAGGACGCAACAATCAGGTTTACCCGTAGCGTGGAAATCCCGAGAACAATGTTTTGGCATGCTTCGAGATCTTTAAACAGTTGTCTTCCAACGAAGCAGTTCCTTCCATGGAAATTAACAGCTGGAGGGGCCTATGGTGAGGGAGCTTGAAGGGAGGGTTAATTCCAACATCGTTGATGACTCTTGGGTTTACACTGGTCCTCCTCCTCCGCGTTCATCCTCCCTCCTCTCTCCCTCCCTCCCTTGTCCCCTCTCCTCCCTCCTCCTATCTCTTCGTCCTCCTCTCTCGCCCCCTCCTCCACCCTCCTCGTCCCTCCCTCCATCCCTCTTAGTCGTCCTCCTTCTCCCCCTCCTCCTCCTCCTCCTCCTCCTTCTGTCCTTGGTGCCGATGTAAGGTGGAGTCTTCTGTTCATCGAACGTGAGATTGTGACCACAACAAGGGCCATACCATCTATACCAAGACGGGCGGGTTGTACCCGCAGGCGATGGCGCAGCACGAGGTATACCCCTGCTTCTGGCTGCGTGGTGGCATGCCCAAGGACCGGACCACGGTGCCAGAACCTGCTGATGAAGAAATATGGTTTCAGGCAGGCTTCGAGTGCGACGATGTTGCAGATGGAGCGATCGGCGCTGGGTACGAAAACCAGCCAGTGCCCTTGTTTGGTGACGCCAATGGGGGGCCTGACGCGAGATATTCCAGATTCCGCCGCAAAGGCTTGGGTATGGTGCAGATGGCCAGCGAGATAGATTTCCACTTCGTGCGGGCACTACTAGGAGTCCTACCAGACGTCGTCCAATCGGTGCCTCGAGGTGAATTAAATATACTCTGGATTGCTCTCCGCCCAACGACCAAAAACGTCACAGATGTCACTGACAGCTTCATGGTGCACGACGGGAGGTGGGCTCGGCGGTATGAGAGACCTTTAGGTGAGCATGCGGAGTTGTGGGCACGAATTGGGTTGATTTTTCAGCAGGAAAGAAGGACATAACATCTCACAGCATCGTGGACACATTCGCATTTAGAATCAAAGGATGTTCTTGTGGATCGAAAGGGAGCCCCATGGATGGCCTATAGCAACGCTGGTGCTGATGAGTGTGCAGGAGAGCATGCTAAACATGATCGCGCATCAGGCCCTATCAAGAGTGCGATTGTGGACGAGGAACGGATGCGATGTATACTTAGATGTACACACATACATTCATACATACACACATACACATACACACGTACACACATACATACATGCATGCATGCATGCATGCATGCATGCATGCATGCATACATACATACATGCATACATGCATACATGCATGCATACATACATACATACATACGGTCAAGATAATAATTAGCCGGTCACACCTGGACTCGCTGGAGGCCGAGAAGGAGCCTGGAGTGAATCAGCGGTCAGGCAAGCACCCTATGTCGAGGGTTTCTGGTGGCCGTGCGAGTGAGGAACAAGATTCCCATGAGGTTGGCCCTATTCTTCCTCCACCGCCCCCTGCGCCTGAGGCTGTGTCTGCGGTCTCTACGGTTCACGCTCTCACCGATTGTGGGAAGAGGTGTCGCCGATGTCGGGGCTCGGCGTCGGCTGCCCGCTTTCAGGAGTGGCGTAAGACACCGTGCTGCCGCATTATACCTATCGAGGGCTCCCTGCGTGCACTTCCTCAGGGGGGCACCATTCACATTGCCGGGGGCAGACCCACCCCGAATCGTGACAGCCTGGCCACTGGTGGCCGCGCGTCTCGGGCACGACCCCAAGTTTCGGTGGCGGAAAGACCGAGGGCCTATAAGGCCGTAATCGCCACCCTGAAAGACGGGGGTTGGCGGCCGATTTGTCCCACGGAATGACGAAGGCCTTTCGAGCCAGACACTTTTGAAACTTGGCAGGTTCCTAACATTGCTGCTGACCGTGTCGCTGGCGATTTCGACATAGCGGAGTTGGTCAGCGATTTTGCTGAGGCTCTCAAAGCTCAGCAGTGGCAGCAGGCTGCAAAACATGAGCACGGGGACGATCTTGTCTCAGGTGCGGACGTGTCGGCCATTCGGTCCCAGCTCCAGCGTTTTCTGAAACGGGATGTATTCGATCAGATTGGTCAGATGGTCACGGCCGCTTCTGGAGGCCAGTGGCCTCATCAGAGGCAGCGCGAGCGAGGGTGGTTAGTGTCCTTGAAGTGCCCGCGATGCGGCGCCCCAGAGGAGACCATGTTCCATCGGAGTTGGCAATGCCCTTGCAATAAAGATGACCCCGCCTATGGAAAATTCGGGGATCTCCTGACCCGGGTCAACCCAGACCCGGGTCAGCCAGGGCGTGCAGAATCCTGCAAGATCCTGCAAGACCTTGCACCCAAACCCTGGTCAATGCGGAGGATCCTGCAAAATCCTGCAGGGTCCTGCACCCAAACCCGGGTCAATGGGAGCCTGGCCCTGCAGGATCCTGCAAGATCTGGCGCTCTGGCTGACCCCCGTTTGCGTTGACCCCCGTCTCAAACCTCCCGAAAAATCCGAGCATTTGATTTCCCGGGCCCGCGTCGGCCACGAGGCTCACCCGAGCCTCTGGCTGCGCGGGCTCCCGCCTCGCTCCTTCACGCGCCCGAACTTTCGGGACGGGGGGGAGGACGTGGCGTGGGGGGTGGGTGCTGTGCACGGGGCCGCTCTCGATTGCAGGAAGGACGGCCTTCTTCTTGTCTTCGGTGACGGCTCAGGCGGGCAGTTTAGTAGCGACCCTCGTCGCCGAAGGGTGGGCGCGGCCGCGATAACTCTGGCGCCAGCCTCAGGGGGCTGGGTGCGGGCCCGCGGCTTTGCCACGACCCTTGGAGGTCGCCGTCAGACGGTTCCCAGAGCCGAGATCCGCGCGTTTGAACTCGCGCTTCGCAGGTTCCCTGGCCCGGTGCGGTTTGTCACGGACAATGCAGCCCTACATCGAGGGTAGCATTCCAGAAGGCACGAGATTGTGAAGGCCCCAACTCGGACCTCTGGTTTCGTGTCCGTGCCGCGTTGGCCGAGAAAGGAGAGGGTGAAGTCCAAGTCGTGTGGTACCCGTCGCACGTTGACCCAGAGGACCCCGCCCTCTCCCCTCAGGAGCGTTTGTATGCCACGGGCAATGGCCTTGCCGACACTCTATGACACTCTGGCAGGGGATGCGGCCAAATTTTCCTGGACCCATGGCCTTCAGGGCCAACGGCCCCCCGATACTGATCTGTGGGATTGCACTGCGGCGCTGGTTAGGCGCCGCGCGGCCAAGGCCATGGTGGTCTCCATCAGCGTCGCCCCCTGGACCGCCGAGCGGCCTCCTGAGGCTCGTCGGGTTGAGGCCCTCACCGGGGCCTTGGTTCGTAGCGAGCACCGTTTGGTCAGGGCCGAACGTAAGTTTCTGTTCTCGTTGTGTCACCAAGTCGTACCCGTGCATAATATTGCTGCTTTTGCAGCAACTCTGTGTCAAGCGGCAAGCCAGGAACTTTCGAGTCTTACCGATCATGGGGTGGTGCGGGCCAGTGGGGCGGTTACTGTGGGGGGGAAGGTTCGTCACTCCTCGCAAAATCTGCATTTCTGGCCCAAGTTTGGGCTGCATGTTTGTTTGAAGTGCGGTAAAACTGCCACGGAGGACCCGCGTCATTTAGTTGCCGAATGCAAGGCCCGTGCCAAGAAAGGCACTGAAAACCTTCAACGAATTCAAAAAGGGCTTTTTCCCAGTCACGCGGGGCCGTCCAAGACGACTCAGGCCCGTGAGCTGGGCATTGTCAGGCGCGAGGCCGTCCTCCATGGCCCGCCGCCTGGTGCGCTTGCTGATCGCTGAGCCCGCTGCCACCCCGTGGGTATCAGCGAATTCCAGCGAATTCCTCCTCCTCCTCCTCCTCCTCCTCCTCCTCCTCCTCCTCTTTCTCCTCCTCTTCCTCCCGCTCCCCCTCCCCCCCCTCCTCTCCTCCCTCCCTCCTCCTCCTCCTCCTCCTCCTCCTCTCCTCCTCCTCCTCCTCCTCCTCCTCCTCCTCCTCCTCCTCCTCCTCTTCCTCCTCCTCCTCCAGGCAGAGGGGGCGCCCCCCCCCCCCCCCCCCCCCCCAGCACCCACCCAGGGGCGAACTGCTCAGGACCAGCGCGGCGTCCACCAACTCGAGGGCGCCCAGCGAGTCCAGGCACTCCCTCACGAACGTGTCCTCTGTCTGGCGTCGGCTCCGCGCGGGAAGGAGTGAGGCAGGGAGGCAGTGGGGAGAGGAGCGGGGGTGATGGAGGACGGAGAGGGTGCAGGGAGGATACCAGCATATGCGATACAGACAGATGCAGGCCGATGCTCATAGATGTAGATGTCCGACAGGGAGAGATACGAAGGAAGCGCGGGGAATAACGCAATGACGGCATACATATAGAGAGAGGGGGGAGAGGGAGAGAGAGAGAGAGAGATGGAGAGAGATGGGGGGCGGCTGGACAAAGGAGGGGGGATGGATGGAGTGGGGGGAGAGAGAGAGAGAGAGAGAGAGAGAGAGAAAGAGAGATAGAGAAAGAGAGAGAGAGAGAGAGAGCGCCGGAGAACGTCCTGGGGGGACGGCCCTATGAGAGCCCGGCGGGGGTTCCGGAGCGCCAGAAGTTTCCGGAGTGGACAAAAAAACAACGCATGTACTCCAGGAGATCTCCTTCATGAGTCTTCCACCATGGCAGGCTCTGGGCCAATTGCCACCATTTGGAGTCGCTGCCAGTGGCAGCCACGTCGTGTAGAAAAGAAACAATGACATCATCCCAAGGCTTTTTGTGTCCGCGATGTCGGCAAAAAGCTGGGCGTAAGTCGTGCGAACATGGATCCCAACTCGCACTCAATCGTGTCCACCCGTGATCGTGGTTGGCGACGCGCGCTGCGAACGTCCATTTCCGCTTGAAGTACACGTCCGACAATCGCCGACTCGTGCTCGTCTGGCGAGCGCCAAAGCGGTGGAATCACTTCTCCGTATTGAATGATCCGAGTGATCATAAAAACATGCTATTAAACATGCTCCGACTGATCATAAGTTCGCCGGAAACACGGAATGCGCCTGAACAAACAAGATAGACAGCACACGCCCGCAGCAATAACAACAACGGCACAAGCGCCGACAACAACGGCATCGACTCCAGCACCGACAGCAACACCGACGACGGCACCGGACGACGACGGCAACAACACCAGCACCAGCACCGACAACAGCACCAGCACCGACAACCTCACCAGCGCCGACAACCTCACCAGCACCGACAACTGCACCAGCACCAGCACCGACAACAGCACCGACAGAGCAAACGAGGGAGACAACAACGACGGTTCTTAATCTCGGGTTCGTTTCGTGGAGGGGGGGGAAGCGGGGGAGGGATGGTGGATGGGATTTGGGACGCACTGGAGGAGAGGGACTGAGACAGGGGATCTGGGCAAGGATCGAACGGAGACAAGAGAGGAATAGAGGTCGAGTAGGGGGGGGGGGAGGAGTGGGGAGGGATGGGTGCGGAGGGCAAAACAAATACGAACAAAAAGGCAGCGAGGGGACGGGATGGAGCAAGGCAGGAAGAGCGTGGGAGAGAGGCAGGGCGAAGGGGGGAATAGAGGGGAGGAGAAGCAGGGAGGACGGGAAAGGATGAGGAAGGATGGAAGTGGAATGAGGAGGGTGCGAGGAAAACGACGAGGGAGGATGGACGGAGTAGGGAGCAACGAGAAGGAGGAGGAATCTGTTCTTGCACCGCAGCCACGGCCCCCCCGCAGCGCCGAAATCCACGACATCGTCGAAACCAGGCGAGGGGCGAGAACCAGAAACCCGGGCGGCCCGAGAGACCGAGGGCGAGGGAGGAGAGAGCAGGCAGGCAAGGAGGCGGGTGAGAACGGACAGCAACCAGCACGTGGCAGACGCCGCAGGGTGCTGGGCTCGGCGAGCGAGCGCAGGCTGAGCGCGGCGACGCCATCGGCGAACGAAGAAGCCCAGTCTTATCAGCGGCAACGGGGGCAGCGCAAGATGCTGGCGCCCGCGCCCGCGCCCCCAAGTTCACTGCAATGTGAAAGCTTCAACCTCGACCGGCGATCTTGTTATCTCTAGCGCCGCGCCAGGACTACTGGCGCGCCAGAACCACTGTCGCCCGCGTCCACGCCCAGGGCCCGCCGGGCGCCTCGCGGTGGAACCACCCGTGCACGAGAACGGCGACGGGCACCTGCCAGCCATGGGGAGGCGAAGAGGCGGCCGGGCACCGAGGGAGGCATCTGGCGCTCCCCGCCTCCGGGGGGGGAGCAGGGATGACACAGAGGGCGCCACGGCGGTCAGACGGCGTGCGTGGAGGCACGCAAGTACGAGGGATGATGATGATGATGATGATGATGATGATGATGATGATGATGATGATGATGATGGTGATGGTAATGGTGATGGTGATGGTGATGATGGTGATGATGGCGATGATGATGATCTTGATGATAACGATGGTGATGGTGATGGTGATGAAGGAAATGATGGCGATGATGATGGTGATGATGGTTGTGGTTGTGGTGATGCTGATGACGGCGATGGTGCTAATAATGAATATGATGATGCTGATGCTGCTGAAGATGACAATGGTGACTTCGATGCTGCTGGTGATGACGATGTTGTTATTGTTGTTGTTGATGATGATGATGATGATGATGGAGGTGGTGATGGTGATGACTACACACTTGCTGATGATGGTGCTGATGGTGGTGGTGGTGGTGATGGTGGTGGCGGTGATGACGGTGATGCTGATGACGATGATGATGATGATAATGCTGATGATGATGCTGACGATGATGATGATGATGATGGTGGTGGTGATGATGATGATGATGATGATGATGATGATGATGATGATGATGATGATGATAGTGACGATCATGATGATGATGACGATGATGACGATGCTGTTACTGCTGGTGAAAATGATGATGGTGAAGGTGATGGTGATGGTGACGGCGGTGATGATGGTAGTGATGATGATGCTGACGATGCTGATGATGGCGGTGATGATGATGATGATGATGATGATGATGATGATGATGATGATGATGATGATGATGAAGCTGGTGATGCTGATCGCACGTAGCTTGGCGCGCCACGTGTCTTTGTCTCAGGCCGTGAGCGAACGAGCAGCGGCAGCCAGCACCTCGAGGTGCTCGTTATAACGTGAAGGAGGTGCGGGTCCAGGCGACCGCACCCCCAGCTGATGGTAAAGTTTGAAAGCGAGGGCGCTGAGGAAGACTGCGCGCTCCCGTGAGATCTCCCCCGCATACTCGGACTCCTCACCCAGGCCAAGCCGTGTTATGACGGAGTTGGGAATAAAGGAACAGGGTAGGGCGACGAGGTGAAGCAGGCGAGAGCAGGAGAGGTCGTGGGAAATGGAATCAGGCAAACCGTCACACCCGAAAGCGCACCCCCGCTGGCCAAGAATGTGCATTCTGCGGGAGGTGATCCACACGCCCACCAGGGCTTTAAGCACCGACCGAAAAATGACTGGGCGGGACTGGGCCAGGATGGCACTCATGGCGGGCCAGCGAGGGGCCAGGGGGGGTACCTGAGCCGTGGGATACCACGCTCGCACGCGCTTCTGCAGCGTCAGGTGCAAGCGGTCAGGGTACAGCTTTCGGGTGAGGGAGCGAGTATACACTCCCTGCAGCTTCGGGCGTCTTTAAAGTACCTCGGCATGGGCGGCTGCCTGAGTGGCCTCGGCAGCCGCGACACGCTGAGGGGCCGAGGGGACCTTCGGGAGCGCGATCGATTGCGTGCGACGATGATGATGATGATGATGATGATGATGATGATGATGATGATGATGATGATGATGATGATGATGATGATGATGATGATGATGATGATGATGATGATGATGATGATGATGATGATGCTGATGCTGATGCTGATGCTGATGCTGATGCTGATGCTGATGCTGATGCTGATGCTGATGATGCTGACGCTGATGCTGATGCTGATGCTGATGCTGATGCTGATGCTGATGCTGATGCTGATGCTGATGATGCTGCTGCTGATGATGATGATGATTATTATTATTATGATGATGCGGAGGAGGAGGAGGAGGAGGAAGAGGAGGAGGAGGACGATGAGGACGATGAGGACGATGAGGACGATGAGGAGGAGGAGGAGGAGGAGGAGGAGGAGGACGACGACGAGGAGTTGGATGAGGCGGAGGTGGAATAGGCGGAGCTGATGGGGCTGGAGAAGGACGAGGACGTCAAGCACGCATTCGAGGGGGAACGCGTGTCTTGGCTACGCGGACTGCAGGACAGGCCGCCCCGCAAACGGGCCGCTCATGGCCGCGGGAAACGGAGTCAACGATGAAGGTGATGGCGGAGTCGGAGCCGGCGAGAGCTGGACGGAAGCGCCCAGCGGCCTCAGCAGAGGCCTCAGCGGCGCGCTCAACGGTCCCTACGGCCCCCTGGGCGGCCCCGAGACGGCCTCCGCTGCGGCCCCGGCAGCGGATGCTGGCGGCCCCTTGGCGGTCCCGGCGGCTCGCCTGGCGGCCCCCAGCGGCAATCCAGAGGCACTTGAGGATCCTGAAGCGAGAGCTCCCTCCTCCTCCTCCTCCTCCTCTTCCTCCTCCTCCTCCTCCTCTTCCTCCTCCTCCTCCTCTTCCTCCTCCTCCTCCTCCCTGCTCCTCTGGGGGCGGCTCCCTGCTCCTCTGGGGGCGTGCCCGGTGGCACCGTGGCGGGAGCACCCGGGGCGCGCGCGCGGCGGGGCCCGCGGCCTCGCCACCGGCGGCAGCAGGGCCGTGGCGGGGGGGAGCGCGGGAGGGCCTTGGCAGCCCGAGGCGACGGTGCGGTGGGCCAGCTGCCACCGCGGAGGCGAGGGAGGGCCGCGAGCCGGCTCTCAGGAGCCGCGTCTGCTGGGCCTGTTTTCCATCACCACCACCATAGGCTGGAGGGGGAGAGGGTCCTCCTCCTCCTCCTCCTCCTCCTCCTCCTCCTCCTGCTCCTCCTCCTCCTCCTCCTCCTCCTCCTCCTCCTCCTCCTCCTTCCCCCCTCCAACTTATGGTGGTGGTGGTGGTGGAAAACAGGCCCATCGGCGCCGTGGGGGGGGCAGGGCGGTTTGGCCGTGCACGTGGAAAAGGCTTCCGCGGAGATGGTGGACGTGGGAGGCCATCCCGACGCCGCGGAAGGAGCGGTCCCACGGGGCCATTCGCTAGCATGCTCGGCTGGGCGGCCAAGCCCCAGGCGGTCCCGGTGGCCAAGCGGGCCCAGCAGAGAGAAGCGCGGCAGGGCAACCCAGCGCCAGAGCCGGCTGCAGTGCCTGCCGTCGTCCGCGGAGCACTCGCAGCCAAACAAGCAGGCCATTTGTTCGGCCGCATCCACGAGGGCTCCCAACTTCGCGCTTCGCGCTGCACGAAGCGCGAAGTGCGAATAACTTCGCGACCTCGCGCCGCCTCCCAAGGCAGAAGAGGAGGATGAGGAATCGGAGCCGAACCGCGAAGCGCGAAGCGCGAATAACTTCGCGCCCTCGAGGGTGTCCTTGCATCCAAGCGTCTTCAGAGCCGCCCATTACCACGACGGCGGCACCTGCACCAGCAAGCCGCGCAGCGCAGCCCAAAGGGGCCTCCGAGGCGGGCGGCACACCGCATCCCCGGGCGCGGAGCTGCTTCCGCGAAACGTCCACCATGGACTCGGGGAAGAACGGAGCCACGAGGAAACGGAATAAGGATAGGGGGCCACATGCGAACCCTACCCCTACCCCCCACGATTTCTGGGGGGGAGGGTGGGGTTCACTTCGCTCGGGACCTCCCGAACGGAGTGAACCCCACCCTCCCCCCAGAAATCGTGGGGGGTAGGGGTAGGGTTCGCATGTAAAGGACGTCTGGAGCTTAGGCTTGCTCGTCGGAGGCATTGCCATCCGCTGCTCCTCCTCCTCCGCCGCGGCGATGGCTACCAGGATCCGCCGCGCCGGAGTGTGCGCCTGGGCCTCCGCGACCAGTCGAGGAAGAGGAAGCGGGCGACGAGGAAGGTCCGAAGCGGAGCATGCACGCAGGAGGGGTGCATCTGCTTTGTCGGGGGTCTGGCTAGAGCTGTCATGACAGAGAAGGCTTGCGTCTGTTTTTTTTAGGGGAGGGGGGGAGGTCTGGCTCGAGCTGTCTTGGAGGGCAGGGGTCTGGATAGGTCCCTCGACGAGGCGGTGAGTCTGAACGGGCTCGTCTGGGCGGGTTGTGCCCCTTCCTCTTGCGCTCGAATTCGGAGCCCACTCCAGGAGAGAGGACAGAACATGAGCAGGACGAGAACAGGAGGAGGATGACTACGAGGACGGGGGCGCGCGGGTGAATCGTGGCCACCGTGGTGGTGGAGGGGGCAGGAAAAGAAGAAGAGGGTCAGGAGAGTCAGGAAGGGGGAGACGACGACGCGAGGGTCAAGGGGGAGGAGGGACGAACTGTTATGTCGGCGCACAAAGGAATGTTACGCGCGCGTGCACCGGCGTTGGGCCATGCGTGTGCGTTGCGACTGTGCGTGGCTAGTTGCGCGGTCACACTTGCGTGTCCGAGCGCACATGCGTGCGCAGGGGGCGGCAACAAAGGCCAGCGGGGGCACAGCCACCGCCACAGGATGGGGAGAGCAGATGGAGAGAGGGGGAGGGCAGCGGCGGAGAGGAGAGGGTATGGGCAGCGAGGGGAGGGGTTGGGTGGGGAACGAGCTGCGGGAGACAAAGGCGCAGGGAAGCCAACGGTCATCCCTCCTCATTCCTCACTCCTCCTCTCGCCACCCTCCTCCTCGTCCCACTCTCCCTACCTCCTCCGCTTTCTCCTCCCTCGTCCCTCGTGCTTCCTGCCTCCTCCGTACTCCCTCTTCCTTCCTGCCCGAATCTTCTTCCTACTGCCTCCTCCAACCTCACTCTCCCACTCGAACCTCCTTTACCTCCTTCCCTTCCCGCTTCCTTCTCCTTTTCCCTCCCTGTTGCATCGTCCCCAATCCATACTCGCTATTTTCTCCTCCCACGGGTGTTGTGACGTCTTGGGTACGATGGCTTTGCGGCACGTTTCGAAGTGGCTCCGTGGAACGATCGTTGTGCTGCGGGGACAATTCTGAGCCCTCAGATGGAGAACTTGGTTCGCCTTTTGGGTCGTCTTCGTGACTGATTGGGTCCCTTTGGGGCTGCGGAACGTGCGGCTTCGGTATCGAGAGCCCACGAGGGCCTCTCAAAAAATTATATGTCCTCCTCATCCTCCTCGCCGTCCTCCCTTCTCCTCCTCCTCCTCCTCGTCCTCCTCGTCCTCCCCCCTCGGCCTTATCGTCCTCCTCCTCCTCCTCCTCCTCCTTTCTCCCCCGTCCATCCCTTCCCCCCTCCCTCCCCCCCGCATTACAAGGGGGTCCTTCCCGCTTTGGCGCGAAATGCGCCGAGCGCAGACCGAACCGCGCTCGAAGTAGACCTCCGCGCGATGCCGGTGCAGACCCACCTTCCTTAACGAGGAAGATCATGACGAGGGGGAAGGAGAAGTAGAAGGGGAGGAGGATGCCGATGACCATAGAACAATGGAGCGGGGGAGGCCATGCGAAGAGGAGCACGAAGAGGAAAAGGAAAAGGACGACGATCACGGGGAAAGAACGATATGCAGTAGGGAGGAAGGAAAAAAGGAAAACGGGCAACTTGGACGACGCGGTGGATAAGGATGTGCACCGGACAGGGCCAGCGTGGGTATGGACGGGGCATCGGCCTGGTGACAACAACGACCATCGCAACACTCCCTGAAGGCTTGGGGCCCTGCGGACGATGATACTGCGGCTCGCCGTATCCACCATCTCTGGAGCAAGCTTGGGCCTTTGCGCAGCGCCAGCGTTGAACGAGCAATTTTTGCGGCGGCGACCGCGCTGCCAGGGTGTCCCGCTGCAGGGGTCGTTCGGCCGTCCGCGCCAGGGCGCCCAGCTCCGCAAAAGAAAATGCCCTGGCACGCAAACGCCGATCTATTTGTGGGGCTCCAGCGGGAGGGGGGCGAGGGCGGGCACGCATTGCTTGGCACGAGGAGCTGGCACAGCCAGGAGCGACAGGGCAGCGCGGGCGAGCCGTGCCAAGAGAGCACCAGGGCGGGCGGGCGCCCGGAGCAGAGCCGGGCCGTGAACCGGGAGGTGGGGGAGGAGGAGGCGCCCAGAGTTAAGTCGGGCGTGTCCCCCTACAGGGGAATCCTCGACGATTTTTTTTTAACACCCAAGAAATACCCCCAAATTGTAAAAAATACAACAAAAAATAGTCCCCCGGCTATTTTTTGACTATTTCTGAATATTCCACCTGTAGAGGGACAGTCCCGACTTAAGCCCAGAGGCTCGGCTCCCCGTCCGTGGGGCTGGGCGGGAACATGGCAAAGGAGGGCCGGGAGAACGACGGGACACAGGACGTGCTGAAGCTGATCAGCTCCACACATGCAGACACATCCAAAAAAACAAAGGCTTGTGCTCCAGGGGTGAAGGCGTGTGGCATTTCAGCAGCTATCCCGCATCAGTTTCACCAGGGCGAGAAAAAAACAAATGGAGGGATCATCTCGCAACTCTTTGCCATCATCATGGGCGCGCGGTCAATCTCGGGGCCCGAGATGCCGCGCTGACAATTACTGAGCCTCGGAAATGACATCCGCCGACCCTGTCGGCGTGTGGAAGACGCTCTTTGTCCGGCCCCCGTCTCCATAAACCTGGGCTCTCCCCCTCAAGCGCGCCAGCCTTTCGAGCGACGTCGCAGCTGAGTCGAAGGCACAGCGAAGTCGAGCAGCGTCGCGGCAGAGTCGAGGAGAAGCCCCTTCCCTTTGTTCCCTTCCCCGCCAGGGGGGGGGGGGGGCGGGTGGGGGGGGGGCGGGTGGTCCCGGCGGAGGGGCCCAGGGGGGGGGCGCCACCCAGATGCGCATCCCCCCCGGGCGGTCCCGTGGCCCAGAAAGCGCCAAGACGCAGCAAGAGTGCCCGAGGGGCGGCCCGCAACGGTCCACAAGGGCCCCGGATCCGAAACGGATCGGTCCAAGACTCCACAGCAGCCTCCAGACGGCCCAGTGCGCTTCTAAGACGCCCCAAACAACCTCCAAAAGCACTCCCAAGCAAGCCCCGAGAAGCTAACATCGTCGATTTCCCGTAAGTTGTTCAATCATTCTGGCGTTCTTGCTATCTCGGCTTCCCTACGCTCCTAACCGTCCTAGACGGCCTCAATGACGCCACAAGATACCCCAACAGGCCTCCAACAGCACGACCCCAGGCAGCCCCAAGACTGCTCAAAAGGCCTCCAAGACGGCCCCAGAAGCTCCGAAGACGGCCCCAAGAGGGTGCCCAGACTGAAGACCCTACGAGCTTTCGGCGTCAGAGGCCTCAAGGAACCTCCCAGAAGCTTCAAAAAGCACGCACTTGTTCTCCCGATGCGTGCGCCCCCAGATGTCTCGACCCCATAGGCCAATGTTGCGCCCGGATTCGGGGATCTTCTGGCCCGGGTCAATCCAGACCCGGGTCAGCAGGAAACCAAAAACTGCAATGCAGGAAAACACAAACTGCAACGCAGGTCTTCGCAGACCCGGGTCAGCCAACAGGCGCGGCCGCCTCGCGGCCGCGAGCGGCTCCCTGACCCAGGTCGGCCAGAGGGGGTCTTCGCAGGGCCCTGCAGGATCTGGTGCCCTGGCTGACCCCCGTTTGCGTTGACCCCCGCCTCGAGGCTCCCGACGGCTCGGGTTTCACACGGCCCCGGCGCCCAGGAACGGCCTCCAGACCTGGATCCTCGATCCTGGATCGCCGACCCTCGACCCTCGATCCTCGATCCTCTCCAGCCCTCGGCCCCCGATCCTCCATCCCCCTTCCCCATCGATCCTCGATCCTCGATCCTCGATCCTCGATCCTCCACCTCGAACCTCGAACCTCGATCCTCGATCCTCGATCCACATCGATCCTCGCTCCTCGATCCTCGAGCCAGGATCGATCCTCGATCCTCGATCCTCCACCCCTTCCCCAAGGCCGGTGCTTCGCCCCCAGGTCGTTTCTCTGACGGCCCCGGGGCCCGGAAGCGGCCTCCCGACGCCCAGCTGAGGAGACGAGTCGGCCAGAGGGGGAGGGCAAGGGGAGGGAAGGGGAGGAAGAAGTACGCTGAGATCCGATGTCGTGTTTTTTCGATCCTGCGTGATCGTCATCAGCATCAGCATCAGCATCAGCATCAGCATCAGCATCAGCATCAGCATCAGCATCAGCATCAGCATCAGCATCATCAGCAGCAGCATTATCATCTGCATCATCATCAGCATCATAATCAGCATCATAATTATCAGAATCCTCATCCTCATCCTCATCCTCATCCTCATCGTCATCATCATCATCACCACCATCATCATCATCATCATCATCAGTTTCATCAGTTTCATCAGTTTCATCATCATCATCATCATCAGCATCATCAGCATCATCATCATCATCATCATCATCATCATCATCGATGCGCCCTCTTCAGCAAGAAAGCTTCCCCCATGGGGCTCCCAGAGCAGAATGCTCTATCCTGTCTGGGAGGTCGAGACCTCTGACGGTCGGGTGCGCGATTTGCTTGTAGGGCTTGTCGGGAAGAGGAAGCGTGAGTCGGAGGCATTCATCACCGGCCCTGCACGCCCACTGCGTCGGGCGAAAACCTTGGCGCCCGAGACGGCGGCGCCGCCGACCCCGAGGATGCCCTTCGAAGAGAAAACAAAGAGGCTGGCCCTGCAGGCTCAGGCGAGACGGCTGCCGCGCTCGATGCGAAACTCTGCTGAACTCACGTGCGCCTGAGAGTCGGCCCTCATGGCGCTCTCCCGTTCCGAAAGCTCATCATTGCATATCAGCTGGCTGACGTGTTGATGGTAACCTGCCCAGCGGGTCCACTGGCGCAACCCTGGATCACAGAACTCATGCAAAATTGGATGGGCCCGAAGCGCTCTCTCCGCGCCTTTCAGCGCCAGGACCGCGATGAAAGCAAAGCAGCCAACGGCAACGATACGACTTCTCAGCCGTGGTGACGGCATGCGGCGACGATCATAACAACCTTAATTTCGAGAAATCACGTGGGAGAGTCAGCGCGAAAACATTTCCCCAAGTAGCGAGCCCATCGACATATCCAAGAACACGCCGCTGACGGGGAAAGGGGGAAACACAAAACACGACTGCTAATATCGCCTCCAAGTGCGCGTGGATTTAGCGACCAGAGAGCTGGCGCAGCACCACACAGAAAGGTACATAGATCGCCAATGTTCCAAATACTCGGATTGGCGGGTTAGACGTCCAACATCTGAGCTGCGGGTGCGTTTGCATGCATCTTGTCTAGTTTAGGGTCGAGGAACCACGAGATGCATCACTGCGACGGGTAGAAAAGTCCGTGCTCGAGCCCCGCAAACTCAGCAAAACTGCCTCGGAAGGATGCCGCAAACCTCGACTGGGGACACCACTCGACCGCGGTACCGGCATTAAATGTGGCTCCCCCAATTTCGCGGCAATTGCAGTCTACGCCATCGTGGGTGAAGACAGGGGGAGTAACGGCCAGCAGATCGGCGCGACGCACACAAATTGTTCCTGAAGTCTGGGTTCGGATATGTCTGGTTCGGGCGTTGGCGACGGTTCGATTCCCTCTGGGCCACCGGATATGCGGGGGGAGAGGAGGCCCAAGAACCAACTCGCGGAAATCAACGCTCTCGAACTCGTCTAGCAACTACCCTGAAACGCAAAATGCGGAAGCCGCCAGCCATCGCTGACCCGAGGAAGCAGCCGAGGAGCTGATGCTCCTCAAAGTCCATGCGGCGGGGAAATATCTTTCAGCGCCTGGGTATCATGCCGCGTAGAATCACACGTAGATGAAAAGGCCGAGGAGTTTGCGAACGTTGCGTTGGACGCGCAACTGATTAGCATGCATGCTGCATGGATCCAATCTAGGCGCGGGGGCTTCAAGTGGCGAGCCTGCGCAGGGTGCTGGGCAAATTCTCCCTGGAGGAGTGGGGGTTGAGCACTAGACGGTTCTCCTGCGACATTCGACCCATCGGCTCAGGAGGCAGCAGCAACTGAGGACATGCAACAGAAACGCGAGATGGGAAGCGGCTACACGCCAACAACTTCTCCTCCGAAAAGAACTCTCCACCGAAAAGAACTCCGTTTCCTCGATCCTCAGCCAGGTTGCAAGCACCGCCGTGATATCGCCACACGTGTTGCCCCATTGCAGCAACATCGTAAACATCGGGTCGAAGATGAAGATATCGCTGCGCCCTGGCTTTGCCTACATAAATTTAAAATCACCGGAAAACATATAATCACCTGCATCGCGCACTCGTTGCCAGCGATCGCGAGCTTAGCTTGAAAGAGTCCGTCCTCTACATGCTACGCTGAATGGGTTTCCTCACCTGCGCGCAGATGGCTGGAGAACGCCGTCTACTTCTGCGTCCCGCGCAGTGGGAGATCGCACCTGATGCGGAGCGGGCGGGTCGACTGCTTACGGAAATCTTGCAACTGGAGCTGCACGTCTTCGTGCGCAGGAAGACGGTGGCGGAAGCCGCGCGCTGGAACTTCCACTTATGCACTTGGCCGATCCCATTGCACTGTACCTCCACGCTCTCGTTGCCGTCGAAATCGTCAAGGCACCTGCCATCAGCTGCAGGGAGTGCGCCTCGCTCGTCTTGACCTAGACGAGCCTTGGAAGCATGCCCACTTACTTGATGTGACCAGTCCTTGCTTCTGGTCTAATGTAAGTTGGATTGGGCCTTCGGCACGCCTCGCCCTGAAACATTTCTGAGAGAAAGCCCGATGCCGTGCTGCCCACCGAGCTGGCATCCCCTGCAACTGCGGATAACCCCACACGTTGTGGGTACGCTTTTTTTTTGAATGTGAGCCAGCTCGGCGCGGCACGTTGCTGGGGGATCTGGCTCTGCAGGCCCGCAGCCGCCGTCGGGGTCTCCCAACGGAGGCCGTCCGTGAGCGTGACCAGCTGCTCTGCCGGCAGCCCCGCCAGCCTGAGCTCCGCGGTCGCGCCTGCCGCCGCGGGCGCCCGGGGTCGCCGTCCCCCTGGACAGGCTGGAGGGTATGAGCGAAAGGAGAGAGGGCCTTCTGTCCACCCGTTGACACCAACGCGCAAAGCTCGCTGCATCGAGCCCCTCCCCCACCCCACCCCCAGGCAGCGGACAAGCACGATTCGTCGGGGTCCTCGTACTGGAGCCAACATGAGTGCGACCAGGGACAGGAGGAGGAGGAGGAGGAGGAGGAGGAGGAGGAGGAGGAGGAGGGGGAGGAGGGGAAGGAGGAGGGGGAGGGGGAGGAGGAGCATATCAGACACCAGTCGGAGCCAATGCCCACTTCAAGTTCATATGATTGCCCTAGGACGGGACGTTGGATGAGGGTGAGGAGGAGCAACAACAGCAGCAAGATGATCAGGCGAACCATGCGCCAGCCTCAAGTGCCTGCGTGTTGAACACGGTCAGAGCAGCGCCGAACTGGGAGAGACGCTCCCAACTCTGAATGTACACGGCCTCTCCTGGGGAAGAGGAGCAGAACAAGCATCCGCAAAACGGCAGGATCAGGATGTGAACGGGGGCAGGAGGGAGGGGAGGCGGAGAGGGCAGCCTCTCGCCGAACTTTGGTCATACTTCTGTATCCTCCTCCCATCCCTCCGCCTACCCCTATTATTTGTGTCCTCCAGCCCCCCTCCTCACTACATCATGTTATAATATCGCCCCTTTGTTTGGTTGTTCTCTCTCTCTCTCTCTGTTGTTATCTTTCTACCCCTTCCTATCAGATCCCCCGTCCCTTCTCACAATCTCCATGTTCATCCCTCCCATCGCTCGAAGCATCCTCCCACTCTCTCTCTATCATTCGTTATATCTCTCTCTCTATCTCTCTCTAGAGTAATATCTTCCTCTAGGTCTCGATTTCTCTCTTGTTATGTATATGTGTCTTGCTTGTGTTGTTTCTCTCTCTCTCTCTCTCCTTCTCTTTCGACCCCCGCTCCGCACCTGTTCATATCCCTTTCCCTCTTTCTCCCCACCTGTTTGCCGCCTGACGGCGACGACAAACTGACCATGATGATTTGAGACTACGACAATTGTTATCATACCGACTCGTCCAAAGCAGTACGTGGACACGTCGGTTGACAAGTGTGATGCAGGTGAAGTGTCTTGTGACTCTGGCACAGGCGTGTTGATGACCTGCTCGGCCACCATAATTGATAGGGTTACTAGGAACCTACTCTGGAAAGACCAATGTCGCGAACAAGTGTTGGACGATATGCGTTGTTCGTCATTGTGCCCATGACCCATGTACCCATGTAATCGTCGGCCTTCGCATGTGATGCGCTGGCCATCCTGACGATGGGCTCAAAGGGAATGGAGGACAGCAACCAACCAGAGAAGCTGCACAGAGAACGCGGGAGAGAGGATACCAAGTCGAGCAATACAACGCATGAACCGAGAATCTGGGTGCAAAATCGGTGACTGCCTTTGCACGTCCTCTCGCATGCACCGCGGCCTCCGTCTCGCAGCGGTTTAACCTTACCAGATCATGCTCAGCCAACCCTGCGTTTTTAAGGGACCAGCAGGGGGAGGACGGGGCGGAGGCAGGAGGAGAACAAGGATAAGAATCAGAATGCTCCTGCAGGTGGGTGCAGGGCCCGGAGTCGGTGCTTCAGCCGGCCAGGCAAGAACACCTCCCGGGCGCACCAGTCTCCCCGCGCGGTCGGTCCGCGAAACCAGGCCGCGCTAAGCTTCAGAGTGCTCCGTGCCCTTTCTCTCCTCTCGTGATCCGTACACTGCTCTTCGATGCCGTTTCTCGATGTGAGATTCCTCGCTCTCCCCCCCTCCCCCTCGTCCTGCCATTCATCATGTTCCTGCTTTGCCGCACGGGTGCAAATGACAACTCAATTGGCGGGCACTGCTACGTTGGCAGCAAGCACGCGGAGAACTCCGACGACTCGGACAGACTGCGAGCATATGCAACAAGAGGTGCCAAGAGAGATGAACGTATCATCAAAACGGAATTCACAATTCACGCTTGTTCGGCAAGTCCAGACCCCAACAGGGGCATGAGAGGAACCCAGCGGCACCTGCAATGTTAAACTTGCGATGTGGGACCTAGACAGAGCAGGCGCAGATCCTGTCATTCGGGCTGGACAACAACCCTGATAGCACAATCCATCACCGTGTTGTCAGCACGTCTCGGCGACTATGGGTGCGGATTGCGAAAGGTGCGGTTTGCCTCCCGTCATATCTGCCCCTCCCGCCCACGGGAAACGGATGACACTGTCACTCAATGCGACCGAATCACATGGCACTGTCGCTCCTTCTAGCACAGTGGAGCACACGTCGAGGATGACACTGTCGCTCGACACGACGACAGCAACGACATTGTCTCTCACAAAGGCCCCGGAAAGGCCGCCACAAAGCAACTCGGAAACCGCACCCCGGCGTAACCGCACCGATTGTAGTCGCCGAGCGTCGTAGCATCCGTAAAGGGCCCAGAGCACCACTTGCCCGGGCGCTTCCGGGCGCCACCGGGCGCGCCGCCCGGGGTGCTCTGCCTGGGCCTCGGGGGCGGCAAGCCCCGCCCCAGAGGCCCACCCAAACAGGCCCAGATGGAATCCAAAAGGCCACCAAAACAGTCCAAGAGGGCCCCGAGTCACCGCACGATCGCTCCCAGGCGCCAGAGATGGCCTCAAGACGACCAAAAAGGCCTCCAAGAAACTCCGCGGGAGCCCCAAGCGCATCCTCACGAGGGCCTCGAGATGCCACAACCACTGATTTATCTTATGTGTTTGAAGGGTGTTGGCGTTCTCACCGTTTCGGGCTTCCGACGCTCCAAGACGGCCCAAGAGGCCCCGAAGATCGAAGACGGCCCAAAATGCCCCCAAGAGCGCCCCCGGACGGCGAGAGATGGCCAAGACGGCCCAAGAGGCCCACAAGACGGCCCAGGGCCCCAGGAGAGGCCCAGGAGAAGCCTCAGAGAGGGAACGCGAACCGACATGTCGAGCCTTTCGCTCCAAGATGCCCCCCGAGACCGCCAGCAGGCCCCCACGACGCCCCGCGCAAGCTCCAGAAGGCCCCCAAGAGGCCCACCCACATCATGCCCCAAGGGGACCCCCAAGAGACCCCCGAGAGGTCCCCAAGACAATCCCAAAACCGAAGCCAAGAGGCTCCCGAACAGCCTACCGAGAGACTCTCACAGGCATCCCAAGGGCCTCTGACCTACAGCCCAGGCACGATGGCGGGATGGACCGAAGGCCAGGACATCCCCCTGAATGAAACACTTTTTTGGTCGGCGGCCAGGCGGCGAACTCCGCTTCAGCGAGAAGCTAGATACGGCATCGACAAGTTTCAGGATCCAGAATCACCCTGGAACGGTTCAGGGGTGAAAATTGCACCCCGAAACGGGTGATTTTCCATCTGGGCGCTCTCAAGAGCCTTGTAGGTGCCTCTCGGAAGTGTACCCGAGCTCCCAAAATATGGCTTGTCACCCTGGAACCGTTCCAGGGTGAAAATCCATCTGGAAGCCTCTCCCAACGCAAAACGGTGCTGTCGGGGAGGGGGTGTACCCGAACCCCCAAAATGGCAATTGTCCAACAGAAATTTCTTATTGGGGAGCTTGTTTTTCGCGGCTGGGCCCTCCCGCTCAGCGTCGGGAGGTCCCAAATGGATTTTCATCCCGGAACCGTTCCAGGGTGGAAATCCATTTGGAACCCTCTCCCAATGCAAAACAGCTCTCTCGGGGACGGGCGGGGTGTACCCGAGCCCTCCAAAAGGCCATGTTCCAAATGTAATTTCTATTGGGGAGCTTGTTTTTCGCGGCTGGGCCCCCCCCCCCCGTTCAGCGTCGGGGGAGGTCCCAAATGGATTTTCACTTCGGAACCGATCCATAGCGAAAATCCATCTGGAACCCTCCCCCAACGCAAAACGGCTCTCTCGGGGATGGGGGGGCGTGAACCCGACCCCCCAAAATGGAAGTTTTCCAAATGAAATCCCAGATTGGGGAGCTTGTTTTTCGCGGCTGGGCTCTCCCCCTCAGCGCCGGGTGGTCCCAAATGGATTTCCACCCCGGAACCGTTCCACGGTGAAATCCATCTGGAACCCTCTCCCGGCGCAAAACAGCTCTCTCGGGGATGGGTGTGTGTGTGTGTGTGTGTGTGTGTGTGTGTGTGTGTGTGTGTGTGTGTGTGTGTGTGTGTGTGTGTGTGTGTGTGTGTGTGTGCGTGCGTGCGTGCGTGCGTGCGTGCGTGCGTGCGTGCGTGCGTGCGTGTGTGTGTGTGTGTGTGTGTACCCGAGCCCCCCAAATGGCAATTTTCCAAATGAAATCCCTGATTGGGGAGCTTGTTTTTCGCGGCTGGGCTCTCCCGCTCAGAAATGTGAGGTCCCAGATGGATTTTCACCCCAGAACCGCTCCAGGGTGAAAATCCACCTGGGCCCCCCTCCCAGCGCAAAACGGCTCTCGGTGATGGAGAGGGTGTACCTGAGCCCCTAAAGTGGGGGAGCTTGTTTTTTGTGGCTGGGCTCTCCCGCTCAGCGTCAGGAGGTCCCAGATGGACTTTGACCCCGGAACCGTTCCAGAGTGAAAATCTATCTGGAACCTTCTCCCAGCGCAAAGCGGCTCTCTCGAAGATGGGGGGGGGTGCACCCGAGCTCCCAAAATGGCCATTGTCCAACAGAAATTTCTTATTGGGGAGCTTGTTTTTCGCGGCTGGGCCCTCCCGCTCAGCGTCGGGAGGTCCCAAATGGATTTTCACCCAAAAACGGCTCCAGGGTGAAAATCCACCTAGGCCCCCCTCCCAGCGCAGAACGGCTCTCTCGGGGATGGGGGGGGTGTACCCGAGCCCACCAAATGGCAATTTTCCGAATGAGATCTCTTATCGGGGAGCTTGTTTTTCGCGGCTGGGCTCTCCCGCTCAGCGTCGGGAGGTCCCGAATAGAATTTTCACCCCGGAACCGTTCCATTGTTAAAATCAATCTAGACCCCTCCCCAACGCAAAACTGCTCTCTCGGGGATGGGAGGGGTGTATCCGACCCCCCAAAAAGGTAATTTCCAAATGAGATCCCATATTTGGGAGCTTGTTTTTCGCGGCTGGGCCCGCCCGCTCAGCGTCGGGATGTCTCAAATGGATTTACTCCGGAACCGCTCCAGGGCGAAAATCCACCTGGGCCCCCCTCCCAGCGCAAAACAGCTCTCTCGGGGAGGGGGGTGTGTACCCGAGCCCCCAAACTGGAAATCTGTCAAATGAAATCCGTTATTGGGGAGCTTTGGTTTTTCGCTGCTGGGCTCTCCCGCTCAGCGTCGGGAGGTCCTACATGCAGTTTCACCCCGGAACCGCTCCAATGTGAAAATCAATCTGGACCCCTCTCCCAGCGCAAAACGGCTCTCTCGGTGATGGGGGAGGTGCACGGGCACCCAGAATGGCCATTTCCAAATGAAATATCTGATTGGGGAGCTTGTTTTTCGCGGCGGGGCCCTCCCGCTCAGTGTCGGGAGGCCCCAAATGGATTTTCACCCCGGAACCGTTCCATGGTGAAAATCTATCTGGAACCCTCTCCCAATGCAAAACGGCTCTCTCGGGGACGGGGGGAGGGGTGTACCCGATCCTTCAAAATTGCAACTGTTAGAATGAAATCTCTCATTGTGGAGCTTGTTTTTCGCGGCTGGGCTCTCCCAGGCAGCGTCGGGAGGTCATAGATTGATTTTCACCCCAGAACCGTTCCAGGGTGGAAATCCATCTGAACCCCCCCCGGCGCAAAACGGCTCTCTCGGGGGCCTGGGAAAAGTGTACCCGAGCCCTTCAAATTGCCATTTTCAAAATAAATTGTTATAGTTTGGGGAGTTTGTTTTTCGCGGCTGGGCCCTCCCGCTCAGCGTCGGGATGTCCCAAATGGATTTTCACCCCGGAACCGTTCCAAGGTCAAAAACCATCTGGGAACCTCTCCCAGCGCAAAACGGCTCTCTCGAGGATGGGGGGAAGGAAATGTACCCGAGCCCCCCAAATGGCAATTTTCCAATTGCAATTTCTTATTAGAGGGCTTGTTTTTCGCGGCTGGGCCCTCCCGCTCAGCGCCGGGAGGTCCCAGATAGATTTTTTCACCGACACCGTTCCAATGTGAAAATCCTCTCCCAGCGCAACACGAGAACGGCTCTCTCGGGGATGGGGATGGGGATAGGGCCCCAGCACCCAAAATGCTAATTTTCCAAAGGAGATGTCTTACTAAGAGCCTTTTTTCTCGTGGCTGCAAGGAGCTCAATGAGGCCTTCTGCAAGGAGCCCAATAAGACCTTCTGTAAGGAGCACAATAAGGACTTCTGTAAGGAGCACTATAACATCTTCTGTAAGAAGCTCAATGAAGCCGTCTGTAAGGAGCTCAATAAGGCCTTCTGTAAGGAGCCCAATAAGGCCTTCTGCAAGGAGCCCAGTAAGGCCTTGTGTAAAGAGCCCAATAAGGCCTTCTGTAAGGAGCCCAGCAGGGCCTTGTGTAAGGAGCCCAATAAGGCCTTCTGTACGGAGCACAACAAGGCCTTATGTAACGAACCCAGTGAGGCCGTCTGTTAGGAGCCCAGTAAGGCTTTCTAAAAGGAGCCCAGTAAGGCCTTCTGTAAGGAGCACAGTAAGGCCTTCTGTAAGGAGCGCAGTAACGCCTTCTGTAAGGAGCCCAATAGGGCCTTGTGTAAGGACCCCAGTAAGGCCTTCTGTCAGGAGCTCAATGAAGCCGTCTGTAAGGAGCCCAATAAGGCCTTCTGCAAGGAGCCCAGTCAGGCCTTGTGTAAGGAGCCCAGCAGGGCCTTGTGTAGGAGCCCAAAAAGGCCTTGTGTAAGGAGCCCAATAAGGCCTTCTGTAAGGAGCCCAAGAAGGCCTTGTGCAAGTAGCCCTATAAGGCCTTCTGCAAGGAGCCCAGTGAGGCCGTCTGTTAGGAGCCCAGTAAGGCTGTCCGTTAGGAGCCCAGTAAGGCTTTCTGTAAGGAGCCCAGTAAGGCCTTCTGTAAGGAGCGTAATAACGCCTTCTGTAAGGAGCTCAGTAACGCCTTCTGTAAGGAGCCCAATAGGCCTTCTGTCAGGAGCTCAATGAGGCCTTCTGGGAGGGGCTCAAAATGGCTCCGGATGGGTTTTCACCCCGGTACGGTTCCATGGTGATTCCGGAACCTGAAACGGGCAGTGTCAAGCTTCCAGAATCACCCCGGAACGGTTTCAGGTGATTCTGGAACCTGAAGCGGTGGATTTTGTTAGAAAGAGGCACAAACTAGCGAATTGGCCAGCGGGCACAGAGAGGGGGAGGAGGAGGAGGAGGAGGAGGAGGAGGAGGAGGAGGAGGAGGAGGAGGAGGAGGAGGAGGAAGAGGAGGAGGAGGAGGAGGAGGAGGAAGAAGAGGAGGAGGAGGAGCAGGAGGAGGAGGAGGAGGACCTCCCCCGCGCGTTCTTGCTCTGCTCGGCGCGCCCTCCCCTGCCAGCCGCGTCGGGGTTCACTCTGACCTCGGCATCCGCCCCCTCTCAGACCAAGCCGGGCCGGGGTCGAGGAGGAACGAGGAGGCACAGGCGCAGGAACGAGGAACATCACAAGGCACAGGGGGGAGGCCGAGAGGGAGAGACAGGGAGGATCAGGGCAATACCAGTCAGCATCGCATCAGGAAGCCGGATCGGATCGGAATGTGCATCGGATCTGGCCGCCTAAGCCCAAGCGCTGCTCGCTGGCACGTGTCACCACTGCGGAGGCATCAGCAAAACCGTGCAAATTCGCAACCTCGAAAACAACAAGTGGCGGCGGCAAGGCGAGACCGCGCCGCCCCCCACGCCACCGAGCACTCCCCGCCCCAGTCTTCGGCGCCGTCCAGCGACGGAAGCACGTTCGACCCGTGGTCGATGCGCGCCTGCGAAGGCGCACGGGCCTGGCCGAGCGGGGCGTCGAGCCTGCCAGGATGCTGCAGCTTTCCGTGTCGGGCTCTCCGGGTCCTGAGCCCTGCGCTCTGGCTGCCTAGACTGAAGGGGCCCCAGGACACACAAATAAATACACACACATAAAAAAGATTCCCCATATTTTCTGGGTTCTTGTCTTCCCCCCCACTTCCCATATTTTCCCATATTTTCTGGGGGATCGACGATTAATTGTGTCTGTGTGTTTTTTCCCCTCCTGATGGACACTGGGCGTCGAATGCTTTGCCCCTGCTCCGGAACCCAGCGAGCGATGCCCCGCAGACCTCGCAAAAGAGAGTGTGCGGAGCATCTTCGACGGCGCCACCGTCAGGGATCTGCTCCACGGGGGCCCTCGCAACAGAGTGCCCACTCAACTCCACGGGGCGCCTCCAACCTCGACAAGGTCGGACGCAGGGGCCGAGAGGGAGGCGGCAGCAGAGCCAGCGGCAGAGGCAGACCCAGCAGGAGAAAGTACCCATCGGAGTCTACAAATCCCGCGGTCCCAAAGGCTGCCCGCGCACGCGCATGCCAGCGTTAAGTCGGGCCTGTCCCCCTACATCCCCCTACAGAGGGATTTGGAACGAAGAATCAAACATATTCAAAACATACCCCAAAGATGCCCCAAAATATTCAAACAATAGTCCCCAGACAATTTTTTGACTATTTTTGAGCACTCCCCCAATAGAGGGACAGGCGGCCCGACTTGATTCGACCCCTTCGATGAATAGCACCTGTCGGGGGGGGCGGCCCAGAGCCCAGCGCCCTCCGCAGCCCCCATGTCAGCGAGACGGCTGCCTTTCGAACACCAGGCCGCCATGTCGCCCGGCGCTGGCTGCCTGGCAGCGCGCGCCACGCCTTCGTTGACTTGGGCGCGGCGTCCCATGCTTACCAGCTTCGAACGTATCCCTATCCCTAAGATTGACACGCCAAAAGGCGATGACAATCTTAGGGATTCGCCCTCAAAAACTAAGGGAATCCCTAAGATTGGCATCGTGATGAGGAGGTGCCCAGCATAGGGATAGGGATATGTTCCAGGCTGCTAAAATGCCGCCCCAGCAAGATTCCCCGAGGCAGGCGCCTCCGAAGGCTGCCAAGGCCCAGGACCGGGGCGATGCCGGGATCCGGAGCGGCACCAATCGAACCGAGACAATCCGAATCGACTTCTAGAGAGCCCTCCGAGTTCCATTCAACGACCTGGGAGAGGACAGGAAACGCGCGTTCTCCTCCGCCCCGCGCCGTCTGCGCGGGGGGCAGGCGGGGGGGAACAACGCCATAAACACAGCCCCTTGAAGTTGGCCAGCTCCCGCTGAGGAAGAAGCGGCGATGCAAGAGCTCCACGCGTAATTCACAGCATGTGTCCCTGACTCTTCTAGCGACCTCCTGAACGAACTCGGGGTATTCCTCCGTCCTGAGCTTAGCCAGGCAGGGGCGCTCGTGGAAACTATGAATCAGAATACCTCTGGCTCCTCCACAGAGGCTGCATTTGTCATGAATGCTCCTGCCATGATCAAGCAGACGAGCCCGAGGCCAGTGACTGCCTCCGACCAGGAACATCAACGCATATTGTGCTGGGGCGCCCGTGTGCCCGATGGGGCCTTGCCGAGAAGCTTGCGCAGCGGGCCGCAATGCAGGGGTGCCGCCCAGGCACCTGAAATACGACTCAGGGCATGCAGGTCAGAGGCGCCCGTTGGGGGCCCCCCCCGACGGGCTCGCAGCAAAACCAACGAGACATTTCACGCACGGAATGCTCGACATCCTAGGCCGCGAAGGAAATGGCCGTCGGCATGCTGATGCCGACTCGGGCCACGCAGAGTAGCATGGCTTCTGCAGGGCCAACGCATTGGGCCCAGGGGCGGGGGCGAGGCAAGAGGTGGCGGCCAGCACTCCAGCAATCCGCCGGAGGCCCCCGCCCACGGGGGGGTCGACGTGGCCGCGAGGTCCCAATGTTTCATGACCCCCACAGAATGAACCGTGAAAGGATCCCGAAAGGCTCCTCTAGAGGTAGCACGGAGTCTCAGGCCGACAGAGGTGCCAACAGGAAGGCGACCTTCGGCTCTGCGGGCAGACGCACGCAAGCAACGCAACTTATGATCGGACACCCCCGTCACAGCCGAGCCCCAGGCGCGGCCGCGGGGGAACCCCGCATGGCGGCGCTGGCCTGAGCACCCGCCCTTCCGAATTGAACTAAACCGTGCTGGCAGCGCGGCGTGCTCGCTTGAGGCGCTGATTTCTGCTCCCCGACCCGCCGGGCTGACCCGCCATTCGAATCCGCGCTTGCACTGCGAGCTCCGACCAGACTGTCCGCATCCTCCAGGCTCCACCTGGCCGAGAGATAGTCCGTGAACTCCCGACTGCTGGACAACAAGACAATCTTGCCCCAAGTAGCTTTAAAAAGCTTCGCCCCCGGGCCCCGGGACAGCCCTGCCATGGCGCCAGGAGGCTGATGGGCCGCAAGGGCCAGGGGGGGGGCCCACGGCCTGGAATCACACATCACCCGCGAGATCCTGAAACCGAGCGACGGGACACCGCCTCTGAGGCCTCAAGAGCAGCGCGTGCACGCGCAGTTTGGCCAACGCCACGGCACGGCCGCGGCCCGCGGCGACAGCCCTGCCCGCAGCGACGGACAGCGAAACTGCCCCCCCCCTCAGACAGCGCGCCGAGGAACCCTGAGCGCCGCGCAGGGACACTGCGACAGAGCGGGAGAAAATTCACTAGCGGCAGCCTCCGCCTTAAGCTCTTCATTCTTCATGCGAGATGTTTTCGTCGTACTTGCCAAGGTCCAGCACGCTGCCAGTGGCACTGAAAACCTTTGAGACGCGCAAAGCGCTGCAATATATTATGCGCGTGACCAGATCTATCACTGGCGTGCCCTGAGTCTCCCCAGACGGCTTGGCGGGCAAGCGAGCGCCCCCGCCGCCTGGCAGTGGGCTGCCTGGGTCTGGGCCGCGCGCGACGCCAAAGTGAGTCAAGCACAACGGGGCGCACCCCGCCCGTAGACTTACCGTTGAAGAAGACTAGGAGCAGCCACAAGTCCAGACTGCGCGGTCGACGTTCCCTGGCGCGCAGTGGATCCAGAAAAGCCTGTCTGCGCGGCGGGGGGATCCAGGAATTACCCAGGGCGAAGCTCGTCCCCGCCTGAACCAGAGGACGAAGAGCGGGCCCCAAGGACTCCGCCAAGTTGCCGCAGAGGCAGCGGATGCAGAGGCTCCAGGGGAGCAGGCCCAGACTCCCCCTCTACCTTGTCCTGGACTCGCGTTCCTGGAGCATGCCCCGAAGGCCCTCGGGCCTCCCGACAGATGCCCTCGAGGTCCCAGTCCCGAGGGTGGCCCTCCTGGGCGAAGGAGGAGAAGAAGGAGCAAGAGAAGGAGCAGGAGGCGGAGCAGGATGAGGAGGAGGAGGAGTAGGAGGAGGAGGAGGAGGAAGAGGCAGATGAGGAGGAGGAGGAGGAGGAGGAGAGGAGGAGGAGGAGGAGGAGGAGAAGAAGGAGCAGCAGGACTGGCAGGGGAGACCCAGAGAGGCCCCCAGTCCTGGAGGATGCGATCCAGGGCCTGCGGCCACCCGCGGGGAGGGCAGGCCTCTCCACAGACCAATCAAGGAGCTGAAAGCCTAGCACGAGAACGTTCTGTCTCCTGAGAGCCGCAAGGCCAGGCTCTCGTCAATCTCCGGCAGCGGACCCCAGCTCAATTAGGCGGAAGCACGCTGAATGAAACCTGACCCAAGATTGGTACTCCGCAGAGGTGTGCCGCCGAAGTGAAACTCGCCAGGCCACCTCCAATATGGCTTCACCGCATTTTTGGGACCCGCGCCATGGCCTCGCCAGCGACGCTGGCTCAACTCCCTCCTTGGTTCCCACAATTTCACAATAGCTTCCTGGAAATACGCGCGGACCCTCGAACATTCAAGAGTTTATGTGTTTGTCCTTCTTCGAGCCGTGTTGCGGGCGCGCTCCGCGCATGCATTTGAACTGACCATGGACATGATCTTTCTGGCTGACTTGTCTGAATTGACGCGGCCTCGACCATTATCTGACTGAAATCCTTCTTGACGGAATCCATGTAGTTCCGTAGCGCGCTGATGGTGTAGGGGGTTGACTCCTCAACCTCGCACACGTATCGGCACGACGCCTTGCCTGCAACGTCCTCGAGAATGTGCTCAAGCGTGCGCGTCTGTGCTGCAACAACTTAAAGCTCGCGACAGCTTGCTTTAATCGCACGACCATCTGCGCTTTGGTTTGAGCATGTGGTTTCCAGTCGTCAGGGCTGGCAGACTTGCCTGATCGACGTTGGCATTGCCGAACAACGTTGGCATATGCAACGCTGGTACTTGACTCTGGCTAGGTTGTTGGAGATTCTGCCAGAACCCCCCTTGCCTCTCTTCCTCCTCCTCCCTTCTTCCCAGAACTCTATCCTGCCGTCTCCCCGTTCTCTCCCTACTCCGCCCCGTGCCTCCGCCTCGACTTCCTCATATTCTTCCTTATCCTCCTCGCCTGTGTCCTCGTTCTCGTCCTTGCCCTCATCTTCGACGTCTCCTCCGGATGCGATTGAGGCGAGGACGGTCCAATCGTGCCTCAGGTAGCGGCCCGACCGGCGGATGCTCTCCTCCCGGGCGTGCAGCAAGCAGGGCGGGCAGCAGCAGACACGGCGGTGGAAGTCCGATTGGGATTTAGACAGCCTGGGCAGTGCCCACTCTTCTGCGCATGACATCCGTGTGTGCACCCATATTTGTATACACATGTGTTGCTTATATATACATATATATACACATACATATACATATACATATACATATACATATACATATACATATACATATACATATACATATACATATACATGTGTATATGAATGTGCGTGATACACATATAGGTGCGTGTATATAAAATGTTGCTGTATATGCAAACAGTATCTGCCCAAGTGCCCGTCTCCCATACCATGTGTGAAAACGTGCTGCCTGACCGTGCACTGTGCCAGTTTCCCATTCTTCTGCTCTTCGTGTATTTCTCCCCTCCCCTCGTCCTCCTCTGCATCATCGAGCTGCCCATACCCTAGTCCCTCTTTGCAATGCCCTCCAACCCTCCCCCCCTGCCCGCCTCCTCCCCTCCTCGCCCCCATGGCCCTGCCCTCCGCTCCCCTCCACTCCTCCTCTCCCTGCTCCTCCTGCTCCTCCCCCTGCTCCAGTGCTTACGTGCCATCGGCCTCGACGGCCATCTCTGAGCAACGTCTTTGCTTAGCTAGGCCATGGGCGGACGGGAAGAGGAAGAGGAGGAAAGAAAGGGAGAGAATGGGAGGGGATGGGGGGGGGGATGGAATGAGTCCAGGTGGGAGAGGCGAGAGGGAGGAATGGAAGGCAAAGGCAGGGACCGAAGTGGCGTAGCGTTAGAGTACCCATGGGGCCACAGTGGCTCCAGCTGACCGCCGACTGCAGCCAATCCCTGCCACATTCACGTCTGGGCCTCCAGTGACCTTTTCGTGATACGTCCCGAGCTCCGCCTCCGTCATCGGAAATGCGTCCGCGAGAGGTGGTCTAGCATTAAGTCGGGCTTGTCCCCCTACAGATGGTTTTTGGTCGAAAAATTAAAAACGAGTCTGAAAAGAATCAGAAACAGCCGAAAATAGTAAAACAAATCGTTCCCAACTATTTTTGTGACTCTTTTTGAATCTTCCTTCTGTAGGAGGACATGCCCGACCTAAGCCCAGCGCCACCTCGCACGCGACCGGCGGCACTGACAGACTGCGCGTCTCGAGGGCGGGCCACGGGGCGATGAAGCCAGCGCCTGGGCGCCCCTGCGCGGGAACCATATCGCTGCAAACATCGTCCACGAGAGCCGTGGCATATACACCGGGGAGCACAAGGAAGGCGCACGCGGCCCTGGCGCGAGCAGTACCGGCACAAACTCAAAGCTCACGAGAGTGACGCCGCCGCCTTCAGCCAAGCACAGCTGCTGAGTAACGAAAAGCGAAGGAGAAGGACAAGCAGCAACAATCGAAGATGGAGCACGCTCTCCGAAGGCGTGGGCAAGCGTGACGCCAGCGTAAGGGGGGAGGGCATGAGCGCGAAAGGGGAAAGCAAAGGCATTTCGCCAGCCCAACGGGCCAAATGCGTGCTAACGAGAAGTACCCCATGCAAATCCCGGGCAGTCCCCGTCAGGGATGCCGGAACTCCTGGCGGCTGCCGTCAGGGCCTTCAAGGGCGTCTCAAGAGGCCCCCAAGGCGGTCTAAGAGGGCCCAGAGTCGCAGGAAGGGTATCTTCCAGACGGCTTCATCCGCCTCCAAGACGCCCGAAGATGCCTTTAAGACCACTCCCAAGCAGCCCCCTCGAAGCAACATTCAACGATTTTCCGTTGGTTTTGAAGGTTTTCAGCGTTTTCACCTTTTCGGCCGCCGACGCTCTAAGACGGGCCAAGAAGCCGCTAAGATCGCTCCAAGACGTCCCATTAAGCCTCCAAGAGAGCTCCAAAAAGGCCCACGGGGACTTCAAGACGGCGCAAGTTTCTCCTAAGACGGCGCTGGAGAGCCCCAAGACACCTCCAGGAAGACCCCTCGAGGAAGACGTTTCGAACGTTCGGCCTCAAAATTGCCCCAAGACGGCCTAAGAGGCCTCCAAGAAAACCACACCACCGCCCAAGAGGGCCCCAAGACGGCCCCAGAGGCCTCCAAGACGGACAAAGAGAGTCCCAGGACGGCCCCAAGACAAGAGGGGGCCCAGAAGGAGGAAGCCGAGCGGGCAGTTCGAGCCCTCGGCCCCAAGAGGCGTCCAGGCTGCCCCAAGCGGCCCCCAAGAGCCCCCCAAGAGGGTCCAATAGGCCCCCCAAGAGGCGCGAAGTGAGCCCTAAGAGGCATCCAAGGAGCCCCCAGAGGCCCCCAGACGCTCCTAAAACTGCTGCACAGGAGCCCCCCCGAGAACCCTCCGAAGAGACACCAATAAGCATCCATGAGGACTCACACCCACGACCGCAGCAGCGCCGACCAGCAGCGCAGCATGGCCCACGATCTCGCACGCAAACGCCAATGATGGCACAATACGGGCTGGCGGAATGAGCGAATCGATTCAGTATACGCCGTCCGCTACCGGCCACTGACAGAAGAAGAGCAGCAGCAGGGGGGGAGGTCACGCTCTCCGCGGACGCCCCTCCTCCTCCTCCTCCTCCTCCTCCTCCTCCTCCTCGACCTCCTCCTGCCTCTGCTCTTCCAGCTCCTCCAGGTCCTGCTCCTCCGCCCCCCTCCCGAAGGCCCTGCCCGTCCAGAGCGTCAGCCATCGCTCTCGCGCTCCCAACGTCCACCTGGCAGGTGCCCGACGCTTGGCTGACCCGTCGCTGGCAGGGCGGAGGGACAGGGGACGGGAGCGAGCTAGGTGCACCCGCGCCAGACCTGACATCCTGCCCCCTTCCTCCCGTCCCTTGCCATTGCGCTGACGTGTTCTCTATCCGCCAGCGCGTGTCACAGCAGACCTGACATTCCAAAAAGAACCCCGTCGTCTCGTGCGCAATCGGAATGTGGGAGATGCGTGTTTTGGAGGATGTGGCGAAAAAGCAAGGGGATGCTCAGGATGAAAAGGATGATACTGAGAAAGGAGGAAGAGGACGGACAGCAGCAGGAGGCGCTGGAGTAGAAGGCGCGGGAGGAGCAAGAGGACCAGGGGAAGGCGGAAGGGAAAAGAGGGGGGAGCCAGCGATGAGAGACTCGGATCCAGAACAGAAGCCCACACTGGTGCCAGAGTGCCACTCTGATCGACGGGAGCACCACGCCGATTCTAAACTGAGTCCCACGCTACAACGGCAGCACCCGCTTTGAAGGATCGGAGGCAAAGGGATTGAAAGAGAACAGCAAGACTTTGGTCGGGCGTGTCCCCCTACAGGCGGATTTGGGACGAAAAACAAAAACTACGGCCAACATATTCAAACGATACTCAAAGTTAACATGATCAAAACATCGTCCCCTGACTATTGTTGGACTATTCTCGAATCTTCCCCCTGTGGAGGGACAGGCCCGACCTAAAGCAAGACCAGCTCGGAACTCCTGCGTGGGGGAAGCACTCCGCGGAGGGGGGCGGGCAGCTCCCCAGGCAGCTTCGGGGGAGAGGGCCGAGCAGCATGCAGATTGCATGCATGCTCTCAGAGGGCGATCGGGTGGCACGGCGGGCAGGGGCATGAGAGGGCGAACGAAGGAGGGCGAGGATCCAGAAGGGAGGAGAACGGGAGGGAGGGGGGACAACGAGGGAGAGAGAGGGAAGGGGGGGGAGCAGGGGGGGAAGAACGATGAGGGAGAGAGGATGTGGTGTGAGATGTGAGGGCGGGGGGGAGAAGGGGGAAGCTAATTGGGCCATGGAGGGCGAGGAGGGTGCAGGGGAGGCGAGGGGGGCGGGGCGGGGGGGGGGTGGAGCAGGCGAGGTGGAGGCGAGGAGTGAAGTGACAACTTCAGGTCCCTCTCTGTCTTCCTGTCCATCTCCCCCTCTGTGTCCCTCTCCCTCTCCCCCTCCCTATCTCTCTATACATATATATACACACCTATACGACCACCCTGCGGGTGATAAGGAGGTTGAGGGGGGTCAGCAATGGGCAACAGTAGTGCCTGTTGTTCTGACGATGCCTCTGGTGCGCAGTCTAGTGATTAGTGTGATTGTCGATTTGCATGTCGACTTGCATGTCGCCATATCGATGTGCATGTCGTTTTGCTTATCGATGTGCATCTCGATTTGCATGCCGACTTGCATTGGGAAGCTCGCCGCAGGCGCCGATTTTTTAAACAGGCAACCCACGGCGCCTTACGATTTGCATTTGGATGTGCATGTCGATTTGCATTTCGATGTGCTTTTCGGTTTGCATGTAGACTTGCATGTGGACTTGCATTGGATAGCTCGCCGCAGCCACGGCGGGACACCAGCGGGACACTAGCAGGACACCGCGGGGCACCAGTTTGCCGGGTGGAGAGGCTTTTGGTCCAGCCGCGGCCCAGCCACAGGAGGATTTCGGGACACCAGCGGGACACCAGCGGGACACCGCGGGCCACCGGCCGCCAGAGGAGAAACATTTGGTCCGGCTGCGGCCAAGCCACAGGAGGATTTCGGGACACCAACGGGACACCGCGGGCCACCAGCCGCCGGAGGAGAAACATTGGGTCCGGCCGCGGCCCAGCCACAGGAGGATTCCCTCTCGCCCGCCCACGCAGCTTCGCCTCGCCCGCACGCGCGAACGGCACGCACGACACGAGCCCGAAACCGAAATCGATTTCCCGGTAGGGGGGTCTCCGTTTCACGTCGGACTCACCCCCCAACCTCCGATATTCCTCCTCCTATATCTTTACAAGCCCGGGGGGGGGGGGGGAACCCTCAACCCCCCCCAAAAAAAAATGGACCCCCGGGATCTGGGGTTCTCGGGCTCCCTTGGACGTCCTTGGAAAAGGTCACCCGGCTTTCCGGGTCTCCACAAACGCCTTGCCAGCAGACCCAGAGCGATCCGAGGGGTCATCAGAAAGGCTCAAGGGAGGCCCCAGAAAGAGCGCTCCAAGAGGGACTCCAATTGCGTCAGGACGGCTCAAAAGACCCCCAAGGCACCCCAAGAAGCTTCCCAAGGGGCCTTCGAACCACAAAAATCGCCCCATCCCCTTCGTAAAACTTACAATTTTAGCATATTCGCCTTTCGGATTTCATCAGCTTTCAAGACGGTTTCAAAGCCCCCGAGATCGCCTCCAGACGCCCCAAAAGGCCCCCAAGAAAGCTTCAAGACGGCCGAGCCGGGCCCCACGATCGCCCACGAGAGCCCCAAGACAGCCCATAGTGGAACCAAGAGGCCCCCCAAGGGCTCCCAGCACAAACCCAAAAGGGCCATGGGAGGTCCCCGGAAGTGCCCAAGATGGGTCCGAAGGGGGCTCCAGCGGGCCCAAGCTCCCCAAGACAGCCCAAGAAGGCCCCAGGACGGCCCATGAAGGCGCCAAAACGGCCCACGAGGGCCCCGAAAACACCCCCACGATGTTTGCGAATGCCAACATTCATTGATTTTGCTCCCATGACATTTCACATTGAGACCCAGTCGTTGAGGGTCCCGTGGCATGCAGCGAAGATGCCCGAGGATGCCCCGTACGAGTAGCATATGCATGTTCATACCCTTACACACATAAATTTATATGTACATATGTACGCTGCATACACACATACAACAATGTAAGTATATGGTTTATGCCTAGACATGTATACGGAACGTGCATGCACGTGCGCGTGTATACATGCATGCGCGCATGTACGCACGCACGCATTCTGCTCGCGTGCAGAACTCAAAGGACCAAGGTGCATGGCGCGCAGCGCCAATGCAGTCTTATGTATATATATACACGTCTCTCTCTCTCTCTCTCCCTGTCTCTGCCTGTCTCTCTCTCTCTCTCTCCCTCCCTCTCTCTGCGACACGAATCTACAATTACATGTGTATGAATTACAACGCATGTAATACAACACATGTGTCCATCTCCGTCTCCTCTCTCTCTCTCTCTCTCTCTCTGTGTTTCTCCTCTCTTCTCCTCTCCTCTCCTCTCCTCTCCTACTCACTTTCGCGGGGCATCGCACCGCCCATCGAATCGTTCGCTGTGCTGACTGCCGTGCGGGGGAGCGGGTGTCGCTCCACACGGCTGCCTCGAGCACCTCGAGCAACAACCGCTCGTCTGAGGCAGAGCGGGTTCGAGCGGAAGCTCATTCGGGGGGGGAGTACAAGGATAAGAGGGATGACAAGGAAGGCGGGAGGGAGGCTCGGGTGAATGTCCCCTTGAGCCCCAATGCGGGGGAGGGATACGGTGGGACATGGGGGCGAGACCGGACAACACTGTATTCTGTTTCTACAAAACACGCCCACGCCCATGCCGGCACCTCTGCACATTGCAAGGCCGCGAATCACGTCAGGAAACTTCTTCGGCGAAGCGCTGCCCAGCCAGTCCAATCAGTCGGGCCATGGGGGAGAACAGTCATAAAACTTGACAATCGAAAACAAATTGTTCCTGCGTGCGGAAACATCTCACGCGCACTGATGTAATCACGGGTAGGTCAGCCCCTCGCCATGATCGTTACCGTCCAAGCAAGGCTTGTATATTAGTGCCGACGCCTGTAGTGGGTGTCGGTGTCAGTCACATTTGCCGCCCTCTGCTCGCTAATGGTATGCGCTCTGCGCGCAAACATATGTGAAGCTTGCGTGAAGCACGCTTGACATGTGGGTTGCTAACAACTCTGGCAGCTACGTGGACCAAAAGCGACGAGCGTGGTGGTTTATGCCATGCTGTTGGGTGGTGGCCAACATGTAGACGGCTATGCATCACATGGCCGCAGGGAAATTCTGTTCGGGAAAGGCGTGCGGCGCACAAGCAAGACACACGATCCTTCAGAAACACGTGTTGCAACAACATTGGTATGTTTGACGCACGTGCGCATTCTACGCAGTCTCAACAAGCTGAGCTTACCCAAAGTAAGGTCCGATGGGCATGCCACTTCTGTTGTCCATCGTTAAAATCGCGACGCGACGTTCACTGTGGGGGGTGAGCATGAAGAGGTGCCGTCATCCTGTCGACGATCTCTCCTAGTTCTGCTTTCACGCAGGGTGGTTTGTGATGACGGGCTCGGGTTGTATAGTTTGACATGTGTTGCAAACGAGGCGCTGGAGCACGGCTTTACATGGGCCATCAAGTGCGACACACGGGAGCGGTACATTAACAACTGATGATCGGGTATTGGCCACAGGTAGTCCCCAGTGGAAAAGAACGTGGAACTGTATCCATGTGGCCAATGTTCCATCTTGCGCTCTCAATGTGACGAAAAATCTGCAGGTGGTGTAGAAACCTGCGCGTTGATTGCTCAATACTACCCGTACGCTGTCGGTTCTTACAGCACGTGCCCCCAGGTAGCTCCGCAGAGTTGTAACATTATGTGAGACGTGACAGTACCAGGCACCTGCAACCAAATCAAAGCTACACATCTAAAGCCGAAGGGGCAGCCTTGGCCAGGGGTGGATGTAACTCGCACGCGAATATCAAAACTCAGCGCCCAAAGCTAAAGCTTCAGCAAAGATGCAGCGTGGACAAGCTTGGCCGCGGGGAAGCTTGGCCACGCTTGGCCAAGCTGCACCTTCAATGGACGCAGAACTACGACTGACGCGCAACGCTCGGTAAAACTGGTGGATACAGCCTACGCGATCGGTATCGCTAACCATCATGCGCATGCTGAATGCGCAAGGCTGGTAAAACTTACGCTGCGCATAGCTTGCTAAGCAAAGGTTGCACGCACGATGTAGCATGGAAACCGTACGTATAGAAACTGATGTAGACAAACACGTGCTCTTCAAGACAATGCGACTATGCAATGACACGGGTCAGTCAGGTGACAACCAATACTGGCATTGGCTAATCGAGGCACCGGTTTCACGTATACCTGCGGCTGGAAGAATAGCTGAAGAAAGAGCTGGGACTTCAATTTCAGACGGACATTTCGATTCACGTTGCTCTTGGATGCTGGCCTCAGGGAAGCTGGCTATGTAGCATCTGGGCTGGGCTGGGATTGCCATGTAAGCAAAGGAAACCCGCAAGCATGCCCTAGCCACGTAGGGGATGTGCAACCACAAGAGCACAGCTACATTTGGGTCGGCGCCGAACTAAAACGTGCCCCCGACTGCGAAGGATGCTGCGTGAAATCCCCTATATAAGACACTGTGAGCAAAGCGCATTTGGGTACGACGCAATAGTTTAGTCCACCTCACAGCTTTACTCAACATGCAGACTCCGCTTCGCTCCTCGCCAAACGGAAGTATGAGCTGCATAGCGGACCAACACATTGGCCAAGATATGAACCCTTCTCCAGCTCATCTTCCTCCTCTCTCCCCTCCCCACGGTGGTTGCGTCAGATTTTAGTTGGCCGCCCCGGGTACCCACAAATCCCGTCCACATGCCATCTGGTTCTACGCTTGACTCATCCTCCTCCCACTTACCTACCTCTTCCTCCGACCCCTCCACAACTCCCTCCTCCGCATCCTCCTCATCATCCTCACCCCCCCCTATCTTTATCTTCCTCCTCGCTCTCCCCCCTCCACCCCATCACTATCATCCTTTTCCGCCTCCTCCCCCTCCTGCACCCCTCCTCATCCTCCGTATCTGCCTCATCACCATCACCTCTTCTTCCCCATCCTCCGTCCGATGCTCGTCTATACAGTTCCTTCTCACCCTCCTTCCCACGATGTAGCGTATTCATCCTCATCGCCCTCATCCGAATCCTCTCCTCTACTCCCCCCTCCTCCCCGTCCTCATTACCCTCCCTGCTACTACTGTTATGCCTCCTCCTCCTCCTTCTCCTCCTCTCTCGTATTCTCTGCCCCCTTCTCCTCCTCGTCCCCCTCCTTTTCCTTATCCTATTCCTTTTCCCCCTCCTCTTCCTACTCCTCCCTGCGTCCTCGTCTCCCTCCCTCCCTCACTTCCCCGCTGGCTCGCAAACCGGGGAGCTGCACGTGGCCCACCCCGCGCTCGGCCCGCAGCACGTCGCTGGCGTCGCAAGCGAAGGCGCCGACCTTTGCCGCCCGCTGGGCCTGTGGCATGCGGGTGCGTGCGCGGGCGCGCAGTGTCAGCGTCGAACCAATGGTTTTTGTGGCGCCAACCGCGTTGCCAGCGTGTCCCGCTGCAGAGGTCGTTCAGCCGTTCGCGCCAGGGGGCCCAACTCCGCAGATGAGAACGCTTGGGCGCGCAATCGCCGATAATCTTGTCGGGCCCCAGCGGGGCATGCTCGGCCGTCGTCGCGTTTGCGGGGGCGCCTTTGCGCCAGTGCGGTCAGACCTGCAGACCCTCCTAGGGAACAAGGAAAAGCGACACCACCACCACCAGGGACCACCAGCGGGAGGAGCCCGGGGGGGCCCCCCGCTGGCGGGAGAAAAAAAATCCCCGGTAGAATCGGACTTGCCCCCGGGAAAATCGGACGTTCCCCGGTACATCTTTGAGAAGCTTTGAGAGATTTGATTGCCTGGGGAGCTTCGGAGAGGCATCCGAGAAGCTTCTGAGAAGTTTTTGAGAAGGCTTCTGCGAGGCTTCTGAGAAGCTTCTGAGGGGCTTCTGAAAGGCTTCTGCGAGGCTTCTGCGAGAATTCTCAGAAGCTTCTGAGAAGTGTTTGAAAGGTTTGTGAGAAACTTCTGAAATGCTTCCGAGAATATTCTGGTAACCTTCTAAGAGGCTTATCAGAAGGATTCTGGGCAGCTTCTGAGAGGCCGCCAGAGGCTTATGAGAGGCTTCTGCGAGGCTTCTAAGAAGCTCCTGAGAGGCTTTTGAAAGGCTTCTGAGAAGTTTCTGGGAGGCTTCTGAGAGGCTTCTGACAGGCTTCTGAGAAGCTTCTGCGAGGTTTCTGAAAAGCTTCTGAAAGGCTTCTGAGAGGCTTCTGAGAAGCTTCTGAGAGGCTTCAGAAAAAGAGGCTTCTGAAAAGCTCCTGAGAAGCTCCTGAGTGGCTTCTGAGAGGCTTGTGAGACACTTCTGAGAGACTGCTACTACTACTACTACTACTACTACTACTACTACTACTACTACTACTACTACTACTACTACTACTACTACTACTACTACTACTACTACTACTACTACTACTACTACTACTACTACTACTACTACTACTACTACTACTACTACTACTACTACTACTACTACTACTACTACTACTACTACTACTACTACTACGAACTACGACTACTACGACTACTACACTACTACTACTACTACTACTACTACTACTACTACTACTACTACTACTACTTCTACTACTACGACTACGACTACTACTACTACTACTACTTCTACTACTTACTACTACTACTACTACTAACTTAAACTACTACTACTACTACTACAACTACAACCTACGACTACTACGACTACTACCGAACTACTACGACTACTAACGACTACGCTACTAACTACTACTACTACTAACTAACGGCTACGACACGGCTACGACTACTCCTGGTACTACTACTAACTACTACTACTACTACTTAACTACTACTTATACTACGACTACGACTACGACTACTACTAACTACTACTACGACTACGACTTTAACTACCTATACTACTACTACTACTACTACTACTACTACTACGGCTACGACTACTACTACGACTACTACTACGACTACGACTACCTCCACTACTACTACTACTACTTACTACTACTACTACTAACTACTACTCCTACTAACTACTACAACCAACAACTACTACTATGACTTCTACTACTACTACTACTACTACTACTCCTACTACTACTACTACTGCTACTACTACTACTACTACTAGTACTTTTATTCGTACTGCTATTACTCCTACTCTTACTGCTACTACTACTCGTACTAGTACTAGTTCTAGTACTACTACTACTACGACGACTACTACACTACTACTACTACTACTACTACTACTACTACTACTACTACTACTACTACTACGACTACTGTTACTACTTCTACTACTACTACTACTACTACTACTACTACTACTACTACTACTACTACTACTACTACTACTGCTACTACCACGACTACGACCGCTATTATTATATTATTACTACCACAACAACAACTACTACTACCTACTACTACTACTACTTGTACTACTACTGCTACTACTACGACGACTACTACGACTACTACGACTACTACGACTACTACTACTACTACTACTACTACCACTACTACTACTACTACTGCTACTACTACTACTACTACTACTGCTACTAGTGCTACTACTAGTGCTGCTACTACTACTACTACTACTACTACTACTACTACTACTACTACTACTACTACTACTACTACTACGACTAATCCGACTACGACGACTACTACGACTACAAATTTAACTACTACTGCTACTACTACTACTACTACTACTACTACTACTACTACTACTACTACTACTACTACTACTACCACTACTACTACTACTACTACTACGACAACAATTATCCTGGCGAAGGA